CAAGAAATGCAAGACTTTCGCAAAACAAATTGAACTCTTCTTCCAATGGCCAATTAGGGAGAAATCACGAAAATGTCCCGAGATGAGGTCCCAGTGTATCATAATATGACTAACTTTTGATCATGCAGAAAATAATTTCTCGAAATGGCAGCATTGGAAATGTAGACCATAGTGTAATGGTTCCAATTTACATCCTGTGTTAGTTTTGTTCTGCGGACTTTTTCAGAGTGCTCTATCTCTCTTCGAAATCGATGAAATATCACATCTGATATCGTAAACCGCATGAAGATTGGTAAATTTTTTCAAAAAATACAGGTCTTCGAAATAGAGTAAGATTATGAGTGGTCCATTAAGTCTGTTGAGAACTGTATTTCATTGCATTTTAGAGATTCACCAGAACATTCATTTATTTATCAAGCATATACACAAAAACCATATATACAAGAAATAGAAACTCACTTAATATCAACTCAAGATTACGACTGGAAACCTTATCCAAAAACTCCCTAAATGTCGATCTGTACAATAAACTTCCCGATAATTATAAAAACCTTATTTTTGTCTGAAGGAGAAAGCAAATTCTCAATTTCAGAAGTTTTTATATTTTATTTTCAAACTCTTATCGTGTGTGTTCAATAGATACAGAGTAACTCACGGTCGATGGTACGTTAGACGTGGTCTATCGATCTAAAATATTATCAGCTCTGCGGCATTGCCGCTTTTATCGAAAAGTAGCAACAACTTTGTTATTTTCAATAGAACACCCTGTATTTTATTGCATTTTCAGATTCTTTCTGAAGAGCTGATTTCATCGATGTTTCACACTTGGGGTCTAGCGGAAATGATTACAGAGATATAGGGTGTGAAAAATTGACAATTTTTCAACTTTAGGAATTTTTTTTGTCGAAACTATTCATTATTGGTCAAAACGGCTCACATGTCCCTATCTCAACTTTTGATCAACTATCTACTGACTCCGGCTCTTTCGCCAAATAATAAAGTCAGACACGTTTCCAACAATCAACATTGTTATTAAAACATATAAAATAAGTTTTTCATTTAATATCATCATGGAAACAAGAATTTCACGTCAATAAATGTACAGGCTGATTCACCATAAATGTCCCCCCCTCTAGCTCAGTTATTTTTGAACCGATTGCAAAATTTTGAATATCATCTAAAATGATTTTCGATTGAGTTTTTCCGCCACATCAGAAAATACAAGGTGCTCGAAACAAACGATCTACAAGGTACTATTTGATTTTCTCAAATGAAACACCCTCTTTTTTATTGTATTTTTAGATTCTCCCTGAAGAGCTTATTTCATCAATTTATCACACTTGGGTCAAGCGAAAATGATTACATAGATATAGGGTGTTGAAAATCGATATTTTTCAACTTAAGGTTTTTTTCTTAACTTCTGATTTACTATCTACTGACATTTGATAATTGGAACAGATACAGGATGATCAGAAGTCTGAATCTTGAACCACACTGTATGTCAGTAGATAGTAAATTGAAAGTTATTGAGACAGGGACATTGAAGCCGTTTCGACCAATAATGAATAGTTTCCACACAAGAAAATCTTCAAGTTGAAAAATATCGATTTTGAACACCCTATATCTCTGTAATCATTCCCGCTAGAACCTAAGTGTGATGTATTGATGAAATCTGCTCTTCAGAGAGAATCTGAAAATACAATGAAAAATCAAGTAGTACTCTGTAGATCGTTTGTTCCGAGCACCCTTTATTTTCTGATGCAACAGGAAAACATTTCTGAAAAATCATTTGAGATGATTAAATTTCCAAATCGGTTCAAAAATAAGTGAGCTAGAGGGGGGGGCATTAATGGTGAATCACCCTGTACCTAGGATGTTTCTCACTCATCAGTACCTTGGTTATATTTCATCCTCTTATAGAATCTGCCACAAACGATCCGCAAGAAAAAGTCCCCGGAATACAAGACGAAAATCTTCGTCGGTTTCCTGTTCATCGCCATCGTCGTTCTCATAGTCACCTCGTACTTCTTGTACAACCAGAAAGTGTTGGCTAAAGCGTACTTCGAAAAAATCAAATTCAACAAGGTCCAGAGGCTCATGAAGATCCACAACAACGAGGGCGTTATTGTCGTCAATGCAGCCCTAGGGACCACTTTGAATTACGACAAGGTGCTGCCCTGTCTACCCAGAGATAACAAACACGATGGAAGTTTGTGTTTAGAGTGGATGCACAGGTGAGCCAAAAAAGTAAACTCCCAAAAATGTTACAGCAACAAAACTAACGATTTTGAACAGTGATTTCGATATTATTATGACTTTATGCACGACCGGTCGTAAAGTGACACTTTATCGCCCGAATTTGCGGCCGTAAAGTTGCCCTTTAGCGCCCTGAGGCCAAAAGAATTCAAAATCATCAATACATTCCATATTGACAGTGAATGGATATCTGAAACTGTCATGCATAAAATGAATGTATTTCAGGCGTCACTTGATTTTATTGGCCTAGACGTGTCGATTGCCTTAATTGCTATCGTTCGAGTTCTTACTCATATACAGAATGTATTTGAATTACACCGAAAAAATTCAAGAAGTGATTCCTTTGTGACATTTTAGGAAATAAAGTTCATATAACAATGGGTCCGAGATTTCCTAATATTTCTATGAAACAGTTTTTGCTATTCCTTTCTTAATTGTCTTTTTATCAATTTCAATAAAACGAAGTGGTTTTGTCAATAGTAATATGGAGCTTCTTCTAGTGCAAGTAGATTCGAAATATTATTCTAATGTACGCCACTGGTTTTCTTGAGTTTGATATTTTTATCAGAATGAAATATTGAAATAACAACTTTTTTATCTTCTGTGTGATTTTTGTATCTACCTGAGTTTGTGAGGAAACAATAAAAATTCTATTAGTGCCCAAATTTTGATGTAGGTGTTTTCAACTTACATTGCGATTAATCAATAAAAATCTCAAAATAATGAGAGAGAAACCTCAAAATTTCCAGAAGAATCTCTGAATTTCGGGATAAAATTACAAACATTTCAGAAAAATCTCAAAATTCCGACAGTGAATCTCAAAATGATCGTGAATGCGAGATCACTTTCAATTACAAAAGAGTGATGCTCTGTCCATCCAGAGACAATAAACATGATGGGAGTTTGTGGTTGGAGTGGATGCACAGGTGAGCCGAAAAAGTAAAATCCCAAAAATGTTACAGCAACAAAACTAACGATTTTGAACAGTGATTTCGATATTTTTATGACTTTATGCACGACCGGGCGTAAAGTGACACTTTATCGCCCGGATTTGCGGCCGTAAAGTTGCCCTTTAGCGCCCTGAGGCCAAAACCATTCAAAATCATTAATAAATTCGATATTGACAGTGAATGGTCTGAAACTGTGGTGCATAAAATGTATGTATTTCAGGCGTCACTTGATTTTATTGGCCTAAACGTTTATTGCTATCGTTCGGGTTATTTCTTATATACAGGGTGTATCTAAATAACACCGAAAAAATTCAAGGGGTGATTCCTTCCCTAATAGCACACAACGTCCTAGGGACGTCCCTATTTGGTACAATTCACGTCCGAATGTCCCAAACCAAAAATAAGTGTCCTTGGGACGTCCCATCCCGTACATCTCATGCAATGTCCGAGCAAGGACGTCCACGGAATGTCCCAGCTGGTACATCATTTCAAATGTCCTAGAAATAGCATCCCTTAGACGTCCCACGTGGTACATATTGTAGAATGTCCATGCAAGGACGTCCTTGGCATGTCCCTGATGGGATATGATTTTAAACGTTTCTTTAGGGACATCCATCGGATGTCCCGAGTAGTACATATTCTGGCATGACTTCGGATCTTATTTATTGTCCCTTCTAGACAACCATCCTTCGAATGTCCCTTAGGGATATCCGTCGGATGTCCCAATTGGTACATGAACTGTACTCTTCCAATGTCCTAGAAATAACGTCCTATGGACGTCCCAGTCGGTACTTTCAATATGTTATCCCTGCGAGGACGTTAACTTACACCTCGACGACGAATGATTGCTCGTAGGCTATAAGTACTCCTCGTCAATGTCCTTCACGTAAGTCCATTGGACATCCTTGGGAAACTTTTTGGGGACCTTCTACGGACCATCAACTCAACTGGATGTCCTAATCAGTTATGCAAGATCTGGTCCTGAAGGGACCCAGAAAAATTCAAATTCAAGAATAATTCGTACGTCCCTGGGACATCCTATGGACATCCAATTGATATCCCTCAGAGTTGCTGATAGGTTGTCCTATGGATGTCCTAAGGATGTCCTCAGTAGTGCTTGATGAGGAATACTGTATAGGATTTAGGTATTCGATAGTTGTCCCAGGGACATCCCTCAAGGACGTCCCTAGTTGGTCCTCAAGTGGGACATTTGTGCGTCCCACAGACGTCCAATGAACGTCCACGGTACCAAATTCGAACGTCCTATGGACGTCCTGAATGTCCCGACAGGACGTCCTAAGGATTTCCATGGGACATAAGTGTGTTATCAGGGTTGTGACATTTTAGGAAATAAAGTTCATATAACCATGTGTCCTAAGATTTCCTAATATTTCCATGAAACAAGTATAGTGATATGGAGCTTCTTCTAGTGCAAGTAGATTCGAAATATTATTTTAATGTACGCCACTGGTTTTTTCGAGTTTAATATTTTCATCAGATTGAAATATTGAAATAACAACTTTTTTATCTTCTGTGTGATTCTTGTATCTACCTGATTTTTTGAGGAAACAATAAAAATTCGATTTGTCCCCAAATTTTAATGTGTGTGTTTTCAAGACTTACATTGCGATTGCTCAATAATCCCAAGTATAATCAAATTTGGAGCTTTCTCAGTATCCATTCTTTCTGTGGAAAAATCGTGATTTTTTGGGAAATTTTCTGATTGTTTTTTTCTCAAATTGATCCTTTTTCGAGGTATGTCATACTTGTTCGTTGACTTTAGGGTCATACTTCCACGACCTGGATGACACAGTGAAAAGCTACCACCATCGATACAATTTTTAATTATCAACTATTCTTATAATTTATTCACTATTTACTTCCGAGATTTATGTAACACATTGTCACTGAGCATTCATCCTGGGCTTTCATTTCAAAACTTACCACCCTGCATATCTCTTGATCTGCGAAGATTACAGTTTTCGGAAAAAACAGCTAGGTCGATTTACATATCGAGGGGGAAGTAATATGTCAGTATCAATTGAATTCTATGATCATCCCCTTCACCTTTCCCAGACACCCCTACTTTGAAATATCAAATGGCACCCCCTACTTTGAGATACTAAAAATTGAGGGTCTATCAATGATGAAATCGACCAGGTGAAAAAATATTTATTTCGTATACGGGGTGAGTCATGAGGTACCTACAACGAACAGAGGCCTCTGAGGGGAATATCAAATGGCCATCTGGAGTTTTCCTCCTCTTCTACTATAATGAACAGGGTGATTTATAGAATTAGGCGAAAAACTATTTTTGTCATAACTTCCCAACAGCTTCTCTGCTTCATTCCATTTTTCCATGGAACATTAGGCACTCCAACACCAATAGACTAACGTATACAGAATTGATTAAAATCCAGGACGGTACTTGTGAAATGTTGCCAGCTATCAGAGAGTTCACTCTGTATATGGATTCAGTGAACAATGTCATTTTTCTGTCAATTGGAACAAAATGTGTTGGTGCTCCATCTAGCTGAGAATGATATAGCCTACTAGTTTCTTTTTGGTCAGAAAAATCTCAATATTCTCAAAAAAATCTCAAAATTCTCAGAAAGTCGAAATTCTCAGATAAATCTCAGAATTTCGAAAATAAATCGAAATTGTCTGAAAATTCTCGATATTTTCTGAAAAAGTCTTCAAATTCCCAGAAGAATCTCAAAATTTCATATTGATGTCATCAGGGCAAGACTTTACTTGGACTTCCACGACTTACACGACGCAGTGAAATGCTACACTGGTTTTTTTTTTTTTTTTATCGCTTGGAGCGCACGAAAGGGAATCCCTATAATGTTCAAAGAACATCGTGCGTTCCTAGGGAGGATAGGGACAAGAGGTAGGTATTGGAATTTTTTTTGAATTTTTGAAGATTATATGTTGTTGGGAATACTTCCACAGGCAATGAATTCCACAGCCTAGCCGTTCTATGGATGAAGGAGTCTTGATAAAGTGCTGTTCGACATCTTTCGAGGTTGACAACGAAACGATGTGCTGACTGGGCTTGTCTTGTTCGTCTGATTGGTATTGCTAGTGGAGGGATGATAGCAGAGATTTCCGAAGAACATATCCCGTGGAAGTATCGATAGAAAAGTGAAAGGTCGCCGACCTTTCTACGGTGTTCCAATGATGTCAAAGAGTGAGTGAGTGTGGTGTCACCTACTAGGCGAATGGCTCTTCTCTGGATGGAATCTAAGAGCATCAGCGTATGTTTTGGTGCTGAACCCCATATGTGGGAACAGTATTCTAGAACAGGCCGTATCTGCGCTTTGTAGATCATGAGAAGCTGTTGAGGTGTGAAGTAGCTTTTCGCACGGAACAAGAATCCAAGTTTTTGTGAAGCGGCTTTTGCGATGGATCTGACATGATTATCCCATGAAAGAGTGTTGCTGATGGAAATACCGAGCATAGATATGGTGGGCTTGGTGGGGATGGTGGAGCCAGACATTACAATATCGGGCATACTGAGTTCCGCCTTTCTAGAGAAAATGCAGGCTTGAGTTTTGGTGGCGTTGAATTCAACTAGGTTGTTTGTTCCCCAGGCTGTGATTTCAGCAAGATCTTCATTGACAGCATTGACCTGCCTGCGCCGTGAGTTCTTAGTACGGGGGCGGGCAAACTGCAGAGGCGGCGTGGCCCTTGGAGAAGGTGCAACCACCCTTTTCGACCCTTCATCAAGTTCACAACGAGATTTCCTTTCTTCCTATCTCTTTTTCTTCCTTCCCACCTTTCAACTCTTCTTTCTCGATATCAGTCTCAATTTATTCATTGTTCATGTGTTCATTTCTTCGTTCATTTACTCATTCATTATTTCATTTCACCTTGATTATCACATTATTCATGTATTTATGTACTTATTCATTCCTTCATTTCTCAATCTATATTCATTCTTCAATTTACTCTATTTCTTAATGGCCTTATTAATTCATCATTTATTCGTTCCTTCGTTTCCTTATTCATTCGTTTCTTCATTCCTTTATTTCTTCATTACTGATGTAGAAGAAATCGAAAGAAATTCCATTCTTCATTTCATGAAATAAACTTGATTTGTTTTTTCGAAGAATTTCTAATTGTTTCTCTCCCTAAGTATGTAAAGTCAATGTTCATAAAGCTATCCTTTTTTTTGCCATTTTGACTTCTTTTTTCTGTAGGAAAATCAGGGTTCGATTTGAGTTTTTGAGGAATTTTCAACTGTCTTTTTTTTCCCACATTGTTCCTTTTCCGAGGTATGTCATAGGTATTTAATGACATCAGGGCAAGACTTTCACGACATGGACAACGCATTGAAGAGCCACCATAGATGGATCTCTGTCCCTATTTTTCCTAAAATTTATGAGAAATAAATTCCAGTATTTTTAGAGCTTTCAGAAAAATCTCAAGATTCCGAAAATAATTCTCGACATATATTGATATTGAATAATTGAGGTACATTTCAAAACTAAGGGATCGATTCGAAAAATTTTGGAAAAATCCCGAAGTTTTGAGAAAAATCCCAATAATATGGGAAAAAATTCAAAATTCATAGGAAAATCCCATAATTCCCAAACAATTCTCGAAATTTTCACATAAATCTAATAATTTCGAACTTAAAATCTCAAAGAAAACCCAAAAATGTCACAAGAATTTCAAAATTTCGAAAACAAAACGGAATCCTCTGAAAATTTTCAAAATTTCGAAAGAAAATCTGAGAATGTCGTTTTGTTGACTTCAGGGCTAGACTCTACTTGGACTTCCACGACTTGGACGACGCAGTCAAATGCTACAACCTCCGCTGGATCTCTTTGTCAGACTCGGTGCCGCCCACCGACTGCTTCGATCTGTCGGCCGCTCACTGGTACGGGGGCGGGCAAACTGCAGAGGCGGCGTGGCCCTTGGAGAAGGGCGGTCACCCTTTCCGGCCCTTCGTAACAGGGCGAGTGGAGGACGGCCGGTGGGGAAACGTAGTGAAGCGGTACTTCGTCAGTTCCAAAGGTGAGTGGGGAAATTTAGTTCAGATATGAGGAGCTGACTAAGCAAAAATATTGTTCAACAATATTGAAATGGTATTTTCCTACGAGCGTGCGCAAAGTAGTACTTCACCGCACTCATTTGCGTGCGCAAAGTGATAATTTTCCGTACTCCGTGCGGAAATGAGGGTGTCATCCGCACGGCGTGCGAATAAGTAGAACTTCTTAAAAATCTCACTGGTATGGAACATTTATATTCATTTAAGTTGCTGTAGACTATTGTATGCAGTATAAGAAGCCGTTATCCCTTTTACTTTCGAACCGTTCTTCCCGATATTTGTATTTAACCTCAATATAAACATTAAGAACAAATGATTTGATTTTCTATCATTATATTTTATTGATATGTAATTGTTTGATGTTGTAATTTAGTTGAATTTTGTTATTTTCGTTGTTATCTGATATGAAACTCGTAGGAAAAACGTTGTTCCTCACAAATTGTGTCTCTTCCGCACGCAAAAACTCATTCGAACTCCGCTCCGCGACGTTTGCTTACTGTATTTGCGTGCGGAAAAGTGACACTTTGTGCACTTGTTAGGAACATAACTATTACCTACTACCAATATGTAATGTGTGAACATCACGACACTGATTTTAGTATCGTAATGAGATACTTCACCGCACTACTGCGGTAAAGTGAAAAATTACAATTTCAAATTTTACTTTTACTCAAAAAAAGAAATGAGAACCAATTTATCATGAATAAAGCAAGTACTTGCGTTTCGATTGCTGCATTTGCCGCAATTTATATATCTGAATCTGAACTTTCCTGATCCAAATTCATGCCAATGAATTTCTTCTGAAATCAACGCGTCAAAGTTGACAGTTCGCCGAATGAGTGACAACCTAGAACTACATCGTGCCTAGAACACAATATAGATTCACGACAACCATACGCCCAACCCTTGCAACGTGCTTGTTACATATTCTTAATGAATCGTCAGTTCGAGTAATATTGAATATTTTTGATTACGATAATCGATGGGTTATCAAACTCATGTCGAACAACAAGCATTCCATAAAAAAGCCGATAGAGGTTTCTTCTTCTTTCTCACAGACCCTAAATTCGTCTTCCTCTTTTATGCCAAGCTTCCTAAAAGGGTATTTCATTCATCAGTGCCCAGTTGGGGATCCCGTTTGTAAACTAACAAAGTTTTGTTTTACTTATAGCCTGTCTGAGACTTCGAAGATTTTCTCAGATGTCTGATCTCTTTTAAGCTCCTGCTTTTCTGATTTCTCCTGATGAAGTGCCACTGCTGATTTCCGCAAGAAGATTATGGCCCTAAGAATTGGTGTTTGAGCTCATTTCCAAGCAAGTTCATCCGCTACGTCATTTCCCTTCACTCTGGAATGTCCCGGAACCCATAGAGGGGTGACTGTATTCCTGTTGGCTAGCTCGTTCAGTTTTTCCTGGCATTCCCAAACTATTTTAGAGCTGACAATCATAGAGCCCAGCGCTCCAATGGCTGGTCGACTACCTCAACTCCAATTTGTTCGATCCCTGTCGGGAAAACGTTGATATTTATCGATAATCAACCAAATAAATAGGACGTGGCGTAGAAAACTAAGATTAAATGGACTAGACACATCTTCATTGGTTTCTATAGAGTGATTTACACAGATTTACACATACCAATACGGTAACAATGCCTAAACTCAATAACATCCGACATTTGTTTGAATTCCAAGGTGCTGCAATCATCGTCGATGATAAAACTCCCCTTCACGTCTACATACACACCAACGACGATGAAAAATAACTGTGCCTGAGGGTGCAAAACGATGATTTCGCCTTCGTCAATAGACTCATCTCGAGTGCAGAGTTCTAATACAACATCTGCGTGGACTCCAACATGTCCGAGCTGCACAACCACCTCAGCGGGCACACCCTGTTTATTTTAACCCATAAATGCGTTAGATCTTTTGTGGTTATATGTCACCAGTAGTATCTCAGCTTGTCTGAGACTTCGAAGATCTTCCCAAATATCTTATCTATGTTTTGTTCCTTCTTCCCTGATTTCTTGTGAAACAGTACTGCCGCTGATTCTGCAGAGAGATTCTGGCCTCACAAAGTGGTGTTCGAGTTTTCTCCCTAGCGATTTTGTCCGCTACTCCATTTCCCTCTACTCCGGAATGTCCTGGAACCCATAGAAGGGTGACTGTATTCCTGTTGGCTAGCTCGTTCAGATTTTCCCTGCATTCCCAAACCATTTCACAACTGATAACCATTCAAAGAACTCAGCGCTTCAGTGTCTGCTTCAACTTCAATTTATTCGAGGTCTGCTGGAGAACGTTGATATTAATCGATGATCAACCAAATATAGATAGAACGTGGCGCACTCTGATAACCTTCTCTCCGTAGGAAGCTAAGGCTGACTGGACTGGACTGGACCTGTCACCATTGATTTTTTTGAAGTGATCCATACATACCCAGCACATTGCAAAACGCTGTCATCACGTTTTGCATATAGGGCGTTCTTGGAGAACGCCAATAATGCCCAAACCCAAAAACATCTACAATTCATTGAATTTCAAGGTGCTGCAATATCGTCGATGATAAAACTCCCCTTGGTCTCCATACGCACCAACGACGATAGGGAGGAATTGTGCCTGAGATCGAAATACGATGATTTCGCCTTCGTCAACAGACACCCCGATTGCAGAGCTCAACTACAGCATCTACGTGGACTTCAACATGTCTGAGTTGCACCTTAGCGAGCACACCCAGTTCATTTTTACTTACATAATATGCGTTTGATCTTTCGTGGTTATAGGACCCAAGTAGTATCTCAGCCAGCCTGAGATTTCAAAGATTCTCCCAAATATCTGATCTATGTTTCGTTCCTTCTTCTAGGATTTCTTGTGAAACAGTGCTGACGCTGATTCCGCGTAGAGATTTTGGCCCTCACGAAGTGGTCTTTGAGCTCCTTTCCTAGCGAGTTTATCCGCTACGTCATTTCCCTTTCCTCTGCAATATCCCGGAACCGATAGAAGGGTGACTATACTCCTGTTGGCTAGCTCGTTCACTTCTTCCCGGTATTCCCAAATCATTTCACAACTGATAACTACAGAGCTTAGCGCTTCATCAGCTGCTTGACTACTGCTACTTCAATTTCTTCGAGACCTGTGAAAAATGTTGATATCGATCAATGATCAAGCATATTAATAGAACGTAGCGCACTATGATGACCTCATCTTCTTAGTAAACTAAGGCTGATTGGACTAGACACATCTTCATTGGTTTCTATGGAGTGATTCACAACATACGAACAGCATAACAATGCCTTAATTCGAAAACCTCTGACATTTGTTTGAACTTCAAGGTGCTGCAATCATCGTCGATGATAAAACTCCCCTTCACGTCTCCATACGCACCAACGACGACAAAAAAGAACTGTGCCTGAGGGCGCAATACGATGATTTCGCCTTCGTCAACAGACTCACCCCGAGTGCAGAGCTCAACTACAGCATCTGCGTGGGCTCCAACATGTCCGAGCTGCATAACCATCTTAGCGAGCACACCCTGTGGGATGGTCTGAAGAAGGAAGACAGCAACGTCATCGACTATTTGCTAACGGAGCCCGTTTGGGAGATCATCTCGGACTCCGACGAGATATTGACTGAAGGTACGAGAAATTGCTTTTCATGCGGTGAATGTTCGGAACGATACCACGAGAGATCTGAGTTGAATCAACTATACAGGGTGAATCAGAGTATGAGGTATTTTTTAACAAGGTATACAGGGTTCGTCGCGATGAACTTACACTATCTTCATATCGAGAATCAGTCGCAAGAAATTTATAAAAATGTGTATGCTCACATTTGAGACTACGCTCTCTTTGTTTAACCCTCTCATGCATAATGCCCACTAGAGTGGGCAGGAGGAATAAGTAGTTGTTAGCAATGGAATTATTCCATGTTTTATCAAAAACTATTTATATAGTTGGCAATATCAGATATATTTTGACATATCTCCAGTGTTACCACCTTCTGCAAAAAAAATCAGAGGTTCATTCTATATGTTGAATCATATTTGCACTAATTCAAAATGGTTGCTGAAGACTCCAATGTTGTTCCTGTCAGAACATTTTATGGAGGCCCTAGAAAAAATGTAATAAATCGAGATCTTGATTATTGTAAACTGTAGTGTGTAGATATTCTATATAAATTAATATATTATTATAACGAAGTATCTTTACAGATTATTTATTCACTAAACAATAACTGTCAACACCATGACATCACAATTTATGACTGTCTATATAACATGATTATACAAAGTGTACTATCATCACACTCCCCTTTCTGAATCTCTCAGGAAATTCGTTCTATTGGCTTTACCAAGCGACCACTCCTCGTTCTATACCCCTCAGTATGGAATCGATCTTGTGACTTAGAAGAACCGGACTGCGAATGGAAATCACAAGGTGAATGCTCCGCAATTCTTCTCTCGTATGATTCTGCAGTAACAGGAATCGAAAATCTTCGATTTCTTCTGAGTTCTACACCATCAGATCGAATTACATACGATCTGGGTTCACCTGTTCTTCTTTCAACCACCCCATACTTTTTCATATCAGCTATCCATACTCGTTGGCCTGGAGATAGTGGGGAAAGCTCTCGTGGTCGATGACGATCATTGAAATTTTGACGTTGTCTGTCTTTCAGGTCTTCTAACTTGCTTACAACTTTGTCGAAATCATTCCAATGTGGTTTCAAGGACTCTTCGGACTGAGGTAGGTTATTCCTCAATTTTCTGCCAAAGAGCAGTTCAGCAGGAGACAAACCACATTCTAATGGGGTGCTTCGATATATCAGCAATGCTAAATTGATATCCTTATTTTTCAAAACAATATTCTTAGCAATTGCTACACCTCGTTCCACCTGCCCGTTAGATTGAGGATATTTAGGGCTTGAAGTAATTACTTTGAAATTATATTCATTTCCAAAGTTTTTGAATTCCTCGCGAAATTGCGGGCCATTATCTGATCTGACGACCTCTGGAACTCCATGTCGAGAAAATATATTCTTCAATACTTCAATTATATAAGCTGATGTGGTCTGTGGTAACGAAATTACTTCTAGATATTTTGAAAAATAGTCGATTACACAGAGGTATTTTTTTCCTTTTACCTCGAACAAATCAATTCCAATTTGTGCCCACGGTCTATTTGGATATGGAGTTGAAATCAAAGGTTCCACAGGATTATTTCGATGTTCAATGCAAATATGACAATTTTCTACCATTGATTTTATCTTCGAAGAAATTCCTGGCCACCAAACTGACTGTTTAGCTCTGGCTCTACATTTAGTAACTCCAAAATGCCCTTCGTGGATTTTCTTCAGAATGTCTGCTTGCATAATCTGCGGGATGAATATTCTGTTTCCTTTCAGCAAAATGCCTCGATGTACTGCTAATTCACCTCGGACTTTGTGAAACTCTACAGGGTACTTAGATTTTGGCCAACCTTCTTTGACGAACGATTTTACTTTTTCACATAATACATCTTCTTTCTGTGCTCGTTTTATTTCTTCCAACTTGACATCAGATAGAGGTAGTTCTGCTAAGATCAGGTCAATGAAGAGATCATCATTCAGAATATCTTCGCCTTCATCTGTATTTTTCTGAATAGGTGACCTGGATAGTGTATCTGGGATATGAAAATCTTTACCGGAAACACATTCGATATCATAATTGAATCTCATTAATCTTATTCGAAATCGTTGTAACCTGGGAGACAATTCAGCTATTGGTTTGCTTTTCAACAGCGAAAGAAGTGGTTTACAATCAGTTCGAATAAGGAATTTATTGCCAATCAGGAAATTTTGAAATTTTTCGCAAGCATACAAAATTCCTAATCTTTCCTTTTCTATCTGAGCATACCTTCGTTCTGTTTCGCTCAATGTTCTTGAAGCATAAAGAACTGGACTCCAAGTATCTCCCTGTAGTTGTTCCAGTACTGCACCAATTTCAAAATGGGAGGCATCAGCAGATACTCTGGTTTTGTTTTTTGCATCAAAAAGTACTAAGTATGTCGCTTTCACTATTTCTTCTTTGATTTCTTTTAAGACTTCATCATGTTGAGGTGACCAGTACCAATTGTTTTCTTTTTTGAGCAGATCTTGGATAGGTTTTATCTTCTCAGAAAGTTTCGGTATGAATTTTCTCATATAATTTATCATGCCTAGTAATCTTCTTACTTCGGTAATATTTTGTGGACATTGCATTTCAGAAATGGCATTAGTTTTCTTAGGATCCGGCCGAACTCCATTTTCGTCAATAAGATGACCCAAGAACTCGATTTTATTGGTGGCGAAAACACATTTTTCTTTGTTTAGTGTTAGCCCTGCTTGCTCAAGTCTCAACAGCACTGCTCTCAATCTCCTATCGTGTTGAGATTTTATTTCACCATAAACCAGTATGTCATCCGCCTGATTTGCTATTCCTTCTAAACCGTCTAGTATTTCCATAATTCGTTTCTGAAAGTGTTCTGGACTTGAAGACAAACCAAACGGCAACCGTTTGAATGCAAATCTTCCAAAAGGAGTAACAAAGGTAGTATAAGGAATGCTGTCAGGACTTAAGGGAATTTGCCAAAAACCACTTGTTGCATCGAGTTTCGAGAAAATTTTCGCACTTGCCATCTGTCCCAATGTTTCTTCAACAGATGGTAGAACTAACCTTTCTCTGCAAATGCTTTTATTAAGCTCTGTGAAATCACCACATATGCGAACGGAATTGTTTTTCTTCAGAACTGCAACCATTGGGGCACACCAAGGAGTTGCTTCTTCAATCGGTACTATAACATCATCTTCGACCATTTTCTTCAGTTGAGCTCTCACTTTATCACGAATATGTAATGGAACACGTCTACTGGTACAAACCGCAAATGGAACTGCGTTTTCCATCAGTTTCAACTTATATTCCTGTGAAAGTTTTCCCAAACCATTGAAAACTTTTGGAAATTCTTCGATAACATTGATTTCATTAACAAAACTGCATATTTTCAGTGCTTCTATCGCTGGCCTTCCTAACAAAGGAATTTGAACACCATCAACGACATATATCTTCTGGATTGATTCTGATTCGTACTTCATTTTTGCTTCAAATTGGCCAAGGACTGGTAACGGCATTCTTCCAGCACCTATCAATTTCGCATGAGTTTTCTGAAGTTTTATACCAATTTTGTCGATCAGATTTTTTCCAATGACAGTGACATCTGCTCCAGTGTCAACTTTAAACTTTATAGGGTGATTCTCCAACAATATTTCTACAAACCAAGGATCAATGTAGTTCTCGGTTTGTTCTACGACCCCTAAATAATAATACTGATCTGGTTCTTCATTTTGAACCTCAACCTCTTGAATTTTCTTCTCACAGCACTTGCTATAATGACCTTTTTTATGGCATAGATGACAAACTGCTGACCTCGCTGGACAATCATCCCATTTATGTGCTGGTTTCGCGCCACATCTCCTGCATTGAAGAATGTGACATTTCTTTAATGTTGCTTTCGGTTTCTCCTTAGCATACTTCTTGTGAACTGCCTCAACCAAATTTTCAGTTTTTCGAATAAATCCTTGCTGCGATATGACAATTTCACTTTGTTTGGCTCGGTAAACGGCTTTTTCTAGGGTCAATTCAGAATCCATTTGTAGATTTTCGCATAATTTGGCATCACGTACACCCACCACAATTCTGTCTCGAATCATTTCATCGTGTAGCTGTGCAAATTCACAATATTCAACAAGCTTATAGAGATCGTTTATGAATACTTCCACAGATTCGCCTTCTTGTTGGAATCGCCTGAAGAATTTAGCTCGCTCGTATATGACATTTCTTTTGACTACAAAATGTTCGTCAAATTTATTTTTGATGATATCATATTCTTGCAATTCGCTAGAATTCAGTTTGAAAGCGTTCAGCATATCATCTGCTTCATCTCCAAGACAATACATAAGAGTATTGATCTGCTGTTCTTCGGATTTATGGTTGAGACCAGAAGCTTGTCTAAATCTCTCAAACCTTCGAATCCATCTCTGCCATTCTTGTGGTTTTTGAAAATCGAATTGTTCAGGAGGATTTACCGTGAAAGAAGCTTGAGCGGTTTGAAATGCACTGGGCTGAGCACTAGTCTGAGCACTGGACTGCTCCGGTGGATTTGTGTTCGCCTTGATTTTGGGCATGACTTACTAGTGGATTCTGTTATTGATTGGGTTCTTCTTTCTTACTTGTGAGTGAAGAACACCTGACACCATGTAGTGTGTAGATATTCTATATAAATTAATATAATATAACGAAGTATCTTTACAGATTATTTATTTACTAAACAACTGTCAACACCATGACATCACAATTCATGACTGTCTATATAACATGATTATACAAAGTGTACTATCATCACATAAACTATGATTAGCAATGTAAATATATTATATAGTTATTTATTATACAAGGGAAAAAAGTAGTAGATTTTAGCTCCAGTTTGTGTTGTCTCCCGACGCGTAGCGGAGGGAGACAAAAAACCGTGAGCTAAAATCTAATATTTTTCCCGTGTATAATACACTATTTTTTTCTGTGACAGAAGGAAGGACGAATCAATATTGGGAAGATATTACATTATTTCGAAATCTGAAAATTATCGACGTGAAATTTCAAGTTTTCAACAGTAAGGACACCTGCGTTTTATAGGCATCTTTATCATTCTTTTGAAGTAATCAAATATCTGATGTCACTTCTGTCAGTTCAATTCTGTGATTTGATTTTAAAAAATTGCGAATTCAGTAGTTGTTTAGTAATATACGAAACCGCGAAGTCGAATGGAAGATAAAAGGACTTGAAGGTTCTTTCTCGGAGACGGTATTATTGACTTATTTTTCGGAACTATAGCACAACAAAAGCCATCATTAACAGAGTATATATATGTGATATATATCCGGGAAAGAAGTACTCACTTTTTTCCCACGGGAAAAAAGTAATTTATGAAAAGTGACATTTTATAACCTGCCAACAGAGATGAAATGCCAAACTTTTTTCCCGTCACAGAAAAAACAAAATATTTCACTTTCCCTCAGTCAGAATCGGAAAAACAATGAGTTCAACCTAGCGGATATCATGCATGTTATGACCTTATTATCACTTTTCCTTTCTAGACTATTCTTTTAGATGATAAATTGATGAATTCCAATCAATTTTCGAAGTCTCGGAGGATACAGAAATTATTATTATTCCTTTCCAGAAAGTCCACTCCTTATTATTGGATCATACCTATTCTCAATGGGCTTATATCACAAAAAAAAATCATTTTATAACTCGATAGAACTCACCCAAACTAGCTCACCACCGCAAACCGTTTCTTGCTGTGAGCTCCCAACGTTTTATAAAAAAATATTGAAATTCTCAATTTTTCAGACCTCTGAAAACGAGGCGATGATGTGCCGTCAAAACCATAATACTGAAACAAGACTATTCCAGACAGAGATGAATGAAACATGATTTCTGACAGAGTGAATTAGCGCGAGATCACAGTTGAAAGAATTAATATATCAGTGGCCTCAGTCTCCGTCGGGCATTTGGTATTTTCTTTTAACTATGGCGAGATGAGGTTTCTACGTCATAAGAGGGTCCGTTTTCTGGAGGTACTATTATTTATGTCCAAAAATAAAACATTTCAGTTGATTTTTGGATCGAATTATGTCGTCAATCATTATTTATGTATGAAAGGATCATTATAAACATGGTTTGAGTTAAAAGTTCTACTGAGGTGTACACGCTCATTCTCTGCTGCTATATCGGTAAACATAAAAATATTTGAATACTTTTGGTAAAATAAAGTGTAGGTAGTGTGCCAGGACCAAAATGAAGAAATATTCATCAGAATTTCGTTCAATATTTTTTTACCAAATCGGCCAAAGTGTGCCGTACAAATTGAAGAGCCACACTTGTAGCGTTTTCTTAGATTTTTCTGAATCGAATAATTGTTGTCGAAGAATACGATTCAGAAGGTCGAAATTTTGACATCTAAAGAGGAAAGAAAGGAGTTCTCCGAGTCCGGCTCTGGATTTTTTGCGATAACGTTAAGGTTCCTCGAATATCGTTCATAAAAGTTTCGGTCTGAATTCAAATAATGCCCTGTATTCCTGTTACGAATAGGCAAAATATATTTCTCCACATATAATCAACTCACTTTGATTTCTTCTATCCGCCATCAGGCTATGCCTGATTAGTCATGAGTCATGACTCACCCTATATATGTAAAAAGTGTAATAGACCTTGCTCTCCTGATTGATTCAAATATTTCCATACCAATCGATGATGAATTATCATGATGGAAAATGCATTACGTCCACTAGAGTGGACATTTAGATTTTTGGTGTTTTTGAGAAAAAATCCAGGAGTTTGGTCAATATTTCATATTGTCAATTTATTACCATACTAATAATTATGAATCGTTGGATGATTTTCGAAATCATTCAGAATTTTTTGAATTAAATTATGCACGAGAGAGTTGAAATATCTTTGATGATGCCCCAACCCTTGTAATAGATTGATTGATTGATTGATTGATTGATTAATAGCAGAATGATCAGTCAGGGTTCGAAGCCCAAAACACTGCAGCCTTTGGGCCTATTGTATTCCTGATCATGCTGTTGACTCAGGTGAACAGGTTCGCTACCTTGATAAGGTTTAGCAGCCTCTTCACCAAATCATTCTTTGAAAAGGCCTCTCGAGAGTTTAATGCTCCCAGAAGGTTCCATCTCCAACGCGCTAGTGCTTCGCACTCCAATATTACATGGGCCACAGTTTCGTGCTCCTCATTGCATAGTCTGCATATGAGTTCGTCTGTATAGATCCCCATTTGATGCATATGTTTCCTCAAGGGGCAGTGACCGGTTATTAGTCCCGTCACTTGTCTGATCTGACTTCTGTTTAGGCTCAGTATGTCGTTAGTCACTGTTTTGGACAGTGTTTCAACCATCAGTTTACCGTGTCTTTGTCCTGGGACATTGTTCCAGTATGCCTGATGTCTTTCTTGCATCCACCTTGCCAGCCAGCCGCGTATTGAGGTTTTGGGTATACCGAACACAGGTTCCGGTCCCATAAACAACACCGCAGACCCTTGCCTAGCAAGAGCGTCAGCTGTTTCATTGCCTTCAATTCCCTTATGCCCTGGCACCCATTGAAGAGTTACCTTGTTATGGTTAGCCACGGTTAGCAGGCTTTGAAGGCAATCCCAAACCAGTTTTGATTGATTTTATTGCCTGTTAAATATTGAATGGCCACATGACTATCTGAGCATATGAGGATTTGTTAACCTCTGTATTCTCTTACGATATTCTCTTTAAGCCATGCCACAATAGCATGCACCTCTGCCTGGAATACTGAAGCATACTTCTCCAAGCAAGCTCAAATCCTGGTTCTGGGTCTATCTCAATATATTCCGGCTCCCGTACCCTCATCAGTCTCAGAACCGTCAATGTACCACACTAACGTGCCTTCCTGACAGTTAGTCAAGACCATTTCATCCCAGTTGAGCTGAGTGATGAAGGTTCTGTAATAGTTGTAATAAGAATAATTGTAATTCTTCTAAGTAGTCGGCATAGGCAGCGAACGTGTTAAAAAAACTCACTTTCAGATTCACCTTTTATTATTAATTAAACTCAGATATTTCGTGATATGTTGCCCTTTTATTCCATCAACCAATACACCAATGCGATACATTTTTCCAGAAACCATCTACAACTTCACTGAAGACATAACCAACTCCGTGGGCATCATGAAACAAGGTCACGTCTTGATCAACGAATTCTGGCAAAAGAACATCGGAGACTTCGAGCTGGACATTGACCGATTTCCCACTCTGGACAAGACCTTGGACATGCTGAAACGAAGAGGTTTGTATAAGAAAGCAAAAAGGCCAGCAACTTTATTTTTTCAAACCATTCAAAAAAATTGCCACTTTGGAGTGATATTTCATTTTGTATTCCTGATGTTTGTTTCACCGTCCCTACCAACATTTAGAATCCTACAACATTTAGATCCCCAAACGAAGATCGCGTTATCTCATGAAGATATTGCCTGGGTGTCTCAAATTCAAGGGTTATCATTGGAATTTCGGTATAACCATGAAAGATCTGTTGAATCGCGGAAAGGTTACGATATTTCTTGTTGATCAAAAATCCCCCTCAAAAGTTTGGAAAAACCGCAAATACTAGCGAAGATATTTGAAGAAAATGAAAAACCACACACCACCACAAAACAATAAGTTTCATATCTCAGAGAAGCCATCATCACCTTAGTTTCTTAGTTTCCATAAACAGTCGAAACAATTTTTCTTGTTGGTATAAATAAATCTGATTACAATTCTGAATCCAACGACATATTGCACTTTACGATTATCTAACGTTTTTCAACTTTAAAATCATCATCAGTGTCATTCGATGATGGTTACTGATCTTGGTCTGATTTCGGTCTATCTTTTCAATAAACTCATATTATGACACCAAATGTGTATTGAAACAGCTTCTATAAGGACACTCTGAATTTCTTTTTTTTAAGTTGGTGATATTAATGTCGAACTGCCAGGAGTGTCAGACACCCCAACAAACAATGAACTACCGGAAATTCATTGGCCCAATGCTTTCTTTGCTGGCAATATGACTCCAACGGCAAAATTTTGTTGGCCTGACTTTGTTTGCTCACTCTTCAAGACGGCCAATGCTTTGCATTCAACCATGCCTATATATGTTTCAGATCAACATCAATTTACCTCAAGAGTAAATTACCTTTATTTCCTAAAATACGTATCGAAAATCATTATCGAATAAAGTTGACTAGAATTTAAATAAATTAAGTTCAAATTCATAATAAAATTCATTGTAGACGATCAAAATCTGGTTTAATTTTTTTCACAAACTCTTCAACATCTTCTAACATATATAAAAATTCATATCAAAAAATTCTCCTCACCTCGATTTTTTCCGTGAAATTAATGAAAGTTTTCCATATCAATAGATCGGAAATCATTGTAAGAAATAATAAAACATGATTTTCATCGTAAGTAGATGTTATCAGTTATTTATATAAACACTTGTTTTCAATTCTAGTAATTTTTTCTATATGATAATAATTCTCAATATTGTTGAAATTACAGGTACTTTACTCTTGAGCGAAATGTAAATTTCTTTTTTCAACGTTGTCAGAATATTCATAGAATATCCTGTACGCTGTCTGGGTACCTACTTCGTATCTTCCTAATATTTGATGTTTTTATTGTTGAAATTTTGTAAATGAGAATACAAGAAATAAATATACTACTTTTTTTTTTTTATCGCTTGAAGCGCACGAAAGGGAATCCCTATAATGTTCAAAGAACATCGTGCGTTCCTAGGGGGGATAGGGACAGGAGGAAGGTATTGGAATTTTTTTTGAACTTTTGGAGATTATATGTTGTTGGGAATACTTCCACAGGCAATGAATTCCAGAGCCTAGCCGTTCTATGGATGAAGGAGTCTTGATAAAGTGCTGTTCGACATCTTTCAAAGTTGACAACGAAAGGATGTGCTGAGTGGGCTTGTCTAGTTCGTCTGATTGGTATTGCTAGTGAAGGGATGATAGCAGAGATTTCCGAAGAACATTTCCCGTGGAAGTATCGATAGAAAAGTGGAAGGTCGCCGACCTTTCTACGGTGTTCCAATGATGTCAAAGAGTGAGTGAGTGTGGCGTCACCCACCAGGCGAATGGCTCTTTTCTGGATGGAATCTAAGAGCATCAGCGTATGTTTTGGTGCTGAACCCCATATGTGGGAACAGTATTCTAGAACAGGCCGTATCTGCGCTTTGTAGATCATGAGAAGCTGTTGAGGTGTAAAGTAGCTTTTCGCACGGAACAAGAATCCGAGTTTTTGTGAAGCAGCTTTTGCGATGGATCTGACATGATTATCCCATGAAAGAGTGTTGCTGATGGAAATACCGAGCATAGATATGGTGGGCTTGGTGGGGATGGAGGAGCCAGACATTACAATATCGGGCATACTGAGTTCCGCCTTTCTAGAGAAAATGCAGGCTTGAGTTTTGGTGGCGTTGAATTCAACTAGGTTGTTTGTTCCCCAGGCTGTGATTTCAGCAAGATCTTTATTGACAGCATTGACCTGCCTGCGCCGTGAGTTCTTAGTTTCCTGGGAAGAAATGGGGAATCTGGAAGAGAACGCAGTATGGAGGGTACTATCATCTGCAAAGCTGTGGATGGGGCAAGTTGTTACTCCCAACAGATCATTGATGTGAAGCAGGAATAATGTTGGTGCCAAAATTGATCCTTGTGGAACGCCGGAATTGATGCCAATGGTATCAGACGATACACCGTCCACCACCACGTGAAGCGATCTGCCTGAAAGAAAACTCGATAAGAGATGGCATAGCTGAGGTGGTAAGCCGTATGATGGTAGTTTGTGGAGGAGTCCTTCGTGCCAAACACGGTCGAATGCTTTCGATATGTCCAACGCAACAGCTAGAGATTCCCCGTGTTTTTCTATTGAAGAATGCCATAGATGGGTGACGTAGGCAAGTAGATCTCCAGTAGATCTTCGGTGGCGAAAGCCGTATTGTCTATCATTGATGATTCCTGAGCTCTCCAGATATTTGATAAGCTCAATATTGATGGCTTTCTCCATCACTTTGGAGATCACTGATAACAGGGCAATGGGCCTGTAGTTGTTGGGTAGGTTCTTGTTCCCTTTTTTGGGGATTGGTTGGACTCTAGCTGTCTTCCAGCGTGATGGAAAAATACCTGACCTGTACGAGATGGTAAACAACTTGCAGAGAATCGGTGTTAATTCTGGTGCACATTTTTTGAGGATAATGGGTGGAATTCCATCAGGACCGTTAGCCTTATTCGTTTTGAGACCAAGCAAAATTCGTCTGCGTTGACGGAAGACGATTTCGGGCATTCGACTCTCAACGGGTGGAATGTCTGGCGGCAGTTTTCCTTGGGAATCTAAAGTAGAGTTTGCTGCGAACATCTCTGCAAAAATATTTGCTTTCTCCTGCGATGTTGTTGCTAATGTGCCGTCGGATTTGGACAGTGGTGGAAATGAACTATTAGTGAAATTTCTTCCGACCGCTTTAGCAAGGGACCAAAACGAACGGGAGCCATTGGGACAATCTATGAGTTTCGATCTTATCTTGGCATTGTATGTTTCTTTGGAACCATCTATTGTTTGGCTGCAGTTATTTCTGGCATCAACGTATTCTGCTCTAGTCGCGAGGTTAGGGTTTTTGCGCCAGCGATGGTAGGCTGTTTGTTTCAAGGCAACAGTTCTAGAACAGTTTTTGTTGAACCAGGGTTTCGAAGGTGATGATCTTTTCGAAAAATGAGGTATGTATGTGTCCATTCCGAGCATGATGATCTCGGATATTTCCGCAGCACACTGTGAAGGGTCCTCAGAGTCAAAGCATCATCTATGCCAAGGAAACTCGGAGAAAAACATGCGGAGACCGTCCCAATCTCCTGAATTGTAATGCCATATAAGACGTGGGGGTGCCGGAGCAGTTGATGGAATGAAGAATGAGCAGGTTGTGGAGATGAGTGTGTGGTCAGAATTGCCAAGTGGAGCTCGTATATCTATGGTGTAGGGTGCTGAATTATTAGTAAGGAATAAGTCAAGTATGTTAGATGAATGGTTATTGGCATCAGGAATTCGTGTGGGTTCTTTGATAAGCTGCTCTAAGCCGTGAGTGATGGCGAAAGCTTCGGCTTGTCGCCCAGCTTCATCCGTTCTGTTAGAGTGTACGAGCCAAGCAGTGTTGTGTACATTGAAATCGCCCATGATGATGATTTCTGCTGCTGGATGGTTCTGTTGAATTTGATCAAGCTTCAGAGACAAGAATTCGAAGAGCTCTTCATAGGATGGATCATTCGGTGATAAGTAGAGACAGCAAAGGTATTTGGTCTGTTTCTGACTATCGAGTTTGAACCACATGACATCAAACTCATTTGGTTCCAAAGTTCTTTCTCGTTGACATGAGAGATTCGTTTTAGAGTAGAGGCAGAGACCTCCCTTGAATCTGAAACGTGTGTGGAGTTCGTACCCAGGACAGAGCAGATAGGTCGTATTGGTGGATGAATTGACCTGTGTCTCAGTAAGAGCCAATATGTCTGGCTTTTCAATTTGAAGGTGTCGATGGACATCGTTGATGTTCTTACTTAGACCTCGGATGTTACATAGGTCTATCTTGAGGACTTTTTCAGCCGATGGTGAACCCCCTCTAGCAACTCTCGCCCGGAAATCCGAATGGAGAGGTATTTTACTTCCGGATAATTTTACTTGAGGAGAACTCATCATCGCGTATTCTGTATAAAGAAGGGAGGTTGGCGTGGAAGGAAAAGGAAATTGGGTTGGGTTGGGTTGGCCGGAACATCAACCAGCTACTGAAACACGGGTAAGTATACCCATTTCACAGTGCCTATGGTTGATGTGGTGGTATCGCACCGGGCGATGGCGTTAACCATCTTCCACCTATTGGCGTCCTTTTAGTCGCCTTCTACGACAGGCAGGACTTACCGTGGGGTTATTCTAATCCGACCACCACACGGAGAATAAGAAGCTGCGAGAATACCTTTTCCTTCAATTTCACTGAATGAGATAGACCAGAATGAGTTTGATATTTTCGTATCCATTTTCTTCTCTCTTCAAGTTGCCGACGTCAGATTTTCAATTTGACGTTTCGTGTGCAAAGATTCAATTTTATTCGTGGTGGTTCAAAATCACCCTTCTCTCTGGATGTAACTATTCATACGAGTACTTGGTGTATGACAATGCCATGTCTCTAGATATAAATAAAGAGACATATTAAAGTTATTTGAAGCAGAAAATAACATTTAATATTTGGCGAAGGAACAATTTGAAATTTTGGCGAAGGAACAATTTGAAATTTTGGCGAAGGGACATTTTGAAATTTAGGTGGCGGAACATCACTCACCATCTTATTCGAGAAAAAAAGCTCATCCTGAAGATTCTGATCGAGATAATGAAACAAAACTATCAAAACATCGTTGATAATTGTGCGAAGTTTCAATTCAATTGGACGTTTTCAAAATTTTAATAATTTTAAATATATTTATCAATATTGTGATAAAAAAATCACAGAAAATATGGGTACATGAACATCGATATTATGAATATTCAAAAAGTGAAAATAAATTAGTTAATCGCCAGTAGCAATCTTTCAAATCGATATGAATATAAAATTCTGAAATGTTTCTGACAAAAAATTATTAGAACTAATGAGGACATTGAAGATAAAGAAAAAATTGTTGTGATTTGTGATCTGTATTGCTATATTTTCTCAGCTAAAATTAATATTAGAAAAAATCCAAAGTGTACGTGGAATTTGCAATAACCACATTTCGATTTTGAATTTGAAAGTATGGAATTAATGAGTATTTTCATCATTCCATATCTGATATGTCTTTCAGCTGAGGAATAGTAAATTATTTTCATTTGATCTAAGGCGAGTATCTTCTTGAAATATTCAGATTTTGATAGTACAAACCGTATTTCCTTAGTGACGTAATTTATCTGAATATTCCATTATGGGTGGCTGTCAATGTATATACCTTGGTATTTTATATTCGATACTTCATAGATTGAGGTTTAGGTCCCATTATTTTGAATAGTGAGGGAGTCACATTCTGGTAGGTATCTTGAGTGAGATGTAAAGAGGATGAAGTTTATCTTGCTGAAGTTCACAGTTAGAAGACGATTGTTAAACCAGTCTGCTATTTTTTGAAATAAGTTCTTCAGGGTTTTCCAATTGTCAGCACTATGAATTACTGCCTTGTCATCAGCAAAACAAACTGCATCTCCTTCAATATCGAGTTGAAATAGATCAATTAGGTAGATTTTGAATAAAAGGGGCCCCAGGACGGTTCCTTGGGGAACTCCATTGACAACAGCTTCAGTCGTGCTGAAACTGTTATTAATCTCCACCATTCTGTTTCCTGTGTTTCAAGTTATTTCCTAGAAGAATATAGGATGTCCCTTAGAATCAAATGTTTTCTAATATATGAAGTAGTTAATGATGATATACCATATTCTTCAAATCGATAAACAAACACAAACATTTTTCATCAACGCGTTTAATGATTTTTGATAAAAACATAGGCTGTTGCGTCTTCCATTGATCTATTTTTTCTGAGACAACTTGTTCATTTGACAGAATATTGTATTGTTTGAGATAGCTGTTAATCCGAGTCTTCAGGATTTTTCCAAATATCTTCGCCAAACTGGATATTAATGATATTGGTCGATGATTACTTATATCAAGTTCATCTCCTTTTTTATAAACAAGTTCAATGATAGCTCTTTTGAAGGCTACCGGGACCGAACCCGAATTAATACATTTGTTTATTATGGAAGGAAGTGGTTCAGCAATACTTCGTGATACTACCCCAACAACACAGGAATGTCCTGTGTACGTCCCTTTTTTGTCTCGCGGTACAAGGACATGATTGGGGCATCCAGGGGATGTCCCGCAGTGGTTGTCCAGTGGACATCCTGCCCGGTACATCCTAGGTTATCCTATTCGTGTCCCTGGAATATCTGACATTCATTCACATCAGAGTCATTGACTTTCATCAAAATATTGAGTTGAATTTTTTTGAAAATGTTTGTTCTTCTTCCGGAAAATAATTGTAATGAAAATAGAGAATATAGTCTCAGAACTTCTCAATAAATGACCATATTCCGCAAACAGAAATCGTAAATGCATAATGCCCCTCATTTTTGAACACCCAAAAATGATATAAATAATTATACATGAAATTCTAACAAAGTTGTATTTATTCAAGTTTCAGTTTTGTACTGATTATCAATCTGTTTAGAACATACATCTTCAAAAGGCATATTAGTCAATGGAGTGAGGTGCGTGCCTGACTTATACGTATCAATAATCAATACGGATAATCTCTATCTGTTTCCATAGCGAAACATAAAGCCGATTATTGAAGTCAAATGACTATCCATAAGGAGAAGTTTTGAAACGATCAGACACATACTGCTTTGATTGAAAGGCTAGTAAACGTCATTGTCCATCGAAACGCATGTCTTTGATGACTACTATAATAGCGCATGGCGCATGCGTATAATGCCACCAAATCCTTATGGATATTCATTTGTTTCATATTTTTGGCTTCATCCTGGCACCCGTTATGATCCGTATTGTTTATTAACACGTATATGGTGCCTGATGAGCTAAAGGTCCCGGGTTCAATCCCTACTCGACCTACATTTTTTTCTTTTGTCGAAGGGATGTCCCTGGAATATCCTTGGGATGTCCTAGGGATATTCTTTCTTCGTACTTGGTACATCCCAGGGACGTACCAGAAGGACATCCCTTGAAAGTTCTTCTTGTCGGAAAGTGGATGTCCCTGGGACATCTCCAGTATGTACGTTGTCCCGTTGAAGGATGTCCCTGAGATGTCCTAGCATAAAATTAAGAGACATCCCAGAGAAGTTCCTAGGATTTACTTGTGATGTTAGGGTAGTTCCAAAATAAAAACAAAAAAACCCGCAAACCATTGAACATACAATAGTAGATTGTTTTATTAGTATCAAAAGTGACACTTTGTTTGACAAGCGAATTTTGCATTTGCGAGGCGGAGCGTTTAGCGAAGCCGAGCGAAAGCAAAATTTGCGAGTCGAACAAAGTCACTTTTGATCCGAATGAAACATGCTATTTTTTTTGCAACCGAAACAATTAACTCAAATAAATATGTGAAGTTACCACCAATGCCGTGCCATATGTATGCAATGCAACAAATATTGACAAATAATCCGTGTAGTGAGAACATTCTACCTGCATCAACAGCAGGTTCATTCAATTTTCAAGGATGTTCGAATTGTAGTTTCAATATAGGTACAATCACAGAGTGACATATTTGTGTATGGACCAGGTGCTCTAATAGCAAATACTGCGCCAGCTATAGGAACAAGACGTGGAAAATGTTAGGTTAATGAGCATATCAACAATGATAATGGCGATTATTTACTCCTCTCTATGATACAATGTTTTTCACTTGATAATCAAATGAAGCTGAACAATATCGTTGTTTGAGACAAAAAACTATTGCTTGCCGTGATTATTCAAAAACAAGTTATCCATCCCGAGAATAACGAATGTAATACAGATCAAGCAAGTATTTGAATCTTGAAGGCTTCCCTGATCAAACAAAATTACTTAGCTGAGATGTTTATAATTCCAATACTAAACTATAATAAGGTGTATATATTTATATCTCCAGCATGGTTATGAAATTCCAAATCTGATGAAATCGGAAACAAATCATGTATGCATCTCAACCCAAATAACCAATCGTCACAATGTTGTTCAGTACTTCCTTTTCAGTTCCTATAGGAGCTAAAGTTCAACTTTAGCTCCTAGGAACTAAAAATTCAACTTTAGCTCCTAGGAACTAAATATGTTGCCTAGCAACCTACCTTTTTTTGTGTCAGTAATAGAAACGTCAATTCAAGAGCTAATTTTGGTATCAAAATGGACGACTTTTGTGTCTGTTGCAGAAAAAGGTAATATAAGCGTGTTGATGAAAATAAAGATGTTGGCACTTTTACGCTTTCGTATAGGATTCCGAGTGGTGTTCACCATCCAGCCGTTCATTTCCACGGAAAGCTTCAATTTCGCCGAGGCAGTCAGCAAAAGGCTTTTAGTGTCGGAGAGGTTCAGCGATCGACGTATTCCGGCGCTGACACGGTACAAGAGTCTGCAGAGTGCTGGGATGCTGGACATCACCAACGAGAAAACTGTGCCTTGGTTGTTGGAGAAGCTGAAGAAGGTAATAGTCAAAAGTCAAGTGGGAGGCAGCGATGTTGGTCAGGGTGTATTCATGAAAAGCGGGACACACTGTATATGAATGGTATACAGTCTGTCCAAGATAAGGTTGAACAGCATGGGGATCTCGGAAACAGTAGGAGATACGAAGTCGCTTAAATGGGGAAAAAGTTGCGCATTCGGAGGCTCATATCAAGAGCCTTCCAAAATTTTGAAAATTATTTTTAGTTTTTGAGTTATATCGAAAAAAGTGAATTTTTGGAATTTCTATTTTATTTTTTTTCTCCGTTATTATTAGAGATACAGAAAAACTGATTATACTTTTTCATAGCAACTTTTGATGACGTTCAACGTGGTGCTACCGATTTTTTTATGCGACGTTTCGTATTTGTGGAACTATCATCAACTTTTGTTTTTTAAATACGGTCCTGATAATTTTTTCACAGATTCTGAAAGGTTTTTCTATTTTGAATTCAACCATGTACTATACAAGGTGATTCGGATGTGTTTCGACCTATTTCTATCCATCATCAATGTTTTTTCGAACTTCCAAAGGAAAAAAGCCATCAGTTCCACTTATTTCTGATCATTTAGTGTCAAACTTGATGGATTAGTTATTCAATACTGAAAAGTGAATAAAAAATATTTCACTACATCATTCGATCAATGCAGCGTTTAAAATTGTTGATGAATTCTTACACGAATTACTTTAACAACTTAACTTTGACAATACCTACAGAGACATTTATAACAAATGTTCAAAATGATAACCATTAGTTTCTGAACAAAGATATGCTCTTCTCACAGTTGCTTCTAAGACATTGCTAAGCATTTCTGGGGTTATTCTATTGAATGCTTCGAAGACACTGTCCCTTAGTTCTTCTCCATCATCAAAGTTAGTTGCGTGTACAAAGTTCGATATATCCCCTAAGAGAAAATCCAGCTGTGTCAAATCAGGCGACCGCACCGGCCAAGGGATAAAAACGCACGGACTTCTCTGGAATTATGTACCGGAGCGCCATCTTGTTGAAACCAACAGAGTTCTGAACTTCCGCAATCGTTAAATCATCCAGAGATCCTCAAGATGATTCTCAAGCGAATTTCTATAACGTTCGGAAGTCTGTGTTTCATGGTAAATAGAAGGAACAATAATTCGTGTACCAAATATTGCAACCCACATATTAAAGCCGAAACGGTGTTGGTGTCTCGCTGTAATGTATAAATGTTCATTTTCTCGTGAACAATAATGTGTATTTTTTTATCGAAGCTACCATGATTAGTGATCATGCTTTCATCAGGCCAGATGATTATTCGAAAGAAATCTGCAAAATTTCAACATTTCCTGGTATACCACTCACAGAATGTCCTGCGCCTTTCGTCATCGCCTGGTTTTAGCGCTTGACATATTCTGAATTTTTATGGACGGAATTTTTGTTTCTGCAAAATGAAATGGGTTGTTGATTGAAACCAGTTGATGAGGTATTAGTGTGTTGACTAATTTTCCTTCAAAATAAGTGGAACTGATGGCATTTTTCTTTGGAATTTCGAAAAAACATTGATGATGGCTGAAAATAGGTCGAAACACACATAAACCACTTTGTATAATACATGGTTGAATTCAAAATAAAAAACCTTTTAGAATCTGTGAAAAAATTATCAGGACCGTATTTAAAAAACAAAAGTTTATGATGGTTCCACGAATACGAAACGTCGCACAAAAAAATCGGTATCACCACGTTAAACGTAATCAAAAGTTGCTATGAAAAAGTATTCTCAGTTTTGCTGTATCTCTAATAATAACGGCGAAAAATATAAAATAGATATTCCAAAAATTCACTTTTTTCGATATAACTCAAAAACTAAACATAATCTTTGAAATTTTCGAAGGCTCTTGATATGAGCCTCCGAATGCGCAACTTTTTTCCCATTTAACCGACTTCGAATCTCTCACCGTTTTCGAGATCCCCATGCTGTTCAACCTTATCTTGGACAGACTGTATATTTTTGATCACAGATTGACGAGCTTCATCATCTTTTTGTTTAGATGTATGACAAATTGATATTCATCATACAGGGAGTGGATAGAAAATTTTGAATTGAGAAATCCGAATCGCGAATCTTTGATCAGATTATAGAAATGATTGATTTTATTAAAGATTAAAATTATATAACCTGTTTGTGAGACATAATATTCCCATTTCACTGATAGAAATGATTTCTGTCAATTTCAAGCTCATCATGATCAGAGTATACTTCACCTATACATTTCAATTCTCATTTCAATACTAAATAAATTGGTGAGTTATATTTTTATATATCTTTATGAATCATATTATTCATCCGATTTCAAAGAGAATGTTATAATTCTCCATTTCAGAGGAATTTTATTTTGATGTTCTCTTTTTGTATGTTCAACAGATATAATTCAATATTCGACGTGGCAAATAGCCAGACAAGTTGTTGTTTTCTGTTGAATATTCAGAATGATTTCATGTACAATTATATATTTATCGGAAGGAGAATGCAACCCAACTTCGCGAGAATTTATTTTCAGATTGCTATCGTGTGTGTTCAATAGATGTAATTCAATGTTCGTCGTGGCATATAGCCAGGAAAGTAGTTGTTTTCTGTTGAATAAACCGAGAAAGAATTGACATTTTCATCACATGGAGAATGCGAATTCTCAATTTTTTTGTTTGTATATATATCAATTTTTTTGTGTTCATAAATGTATCTGACAATATTCCTTTTCTAGACTCGTCTTGGAAATAGGAAAAACTACGAAAATCAAGCAATTTGGGACACCCTGTACATTATGTATTTCTCAAAATTTTTGTATACATATATTCCGACTCAGAGTATAATAACCAAACCTCTTCACAAAAAAGGTGCTCTTTTTCCTTATCGGTCAGAATAATCATTTTAGAGTGAAATTGTTTTGCGATCAAAATAATAATACATTCCACATAGTATGCATAACATTGCAATAAATCGTATGGGCTATGGAAAAAGGAATGCACAAAAATTGAAATGGTGTTTTCATCATTATTCTCCTATTTTACGCGTCTCTATGCCTGGAATTTTTCAGTGAAAAGAAAGTAAAGCCACTATGATTTGAAAATTGCTAACATCATGCATAATACGGGAGTTGTGAAACTATTTTTGAATTGATTCCACTTGAAAATGATACATCTGATCGATACGGAACAAGAGCAGCTATTTTTATGTAAAGAGGTGTGGATTTTCATGATTTAGTATGATATAGGTACCTATCCTAATTTTTAACTTCATCTGTAAATCTCTAGTCTTAGCCACTAGTTTTTGTAATATTCATAACTTATGTATATGTGACGTATCTTATTTGTATTCTTATGAATGCACCTAAAAGACAAATAAAATATCTATCTATCTATCTATCTATCCCGTATTTTTAACACTTTCATTGCGGGTAAAATTCTGATAGCTCTCAAAACGGAAAAAAATTTGCGTTGCGGGAACGCCCGTCTTCCGCAACCACAGGATACCTTGTGAATGCGATTTTTTTACATATTTCAACCCAAAATATGTTCCATTTTGATAGTCTTTATTCAAAATTGAATGTTATAATGCGATTCCTCATATCTTTAATGAATTGAAAATATTCCCATATATGAAATGGAATTTAATGATTTTTCACAGTATGATACCTTTCAAAACATTTTATGATACACAGTGGAACATCACAAGGCGCATACATTTCTTCAATTTGAGCGTCATTGAGATATTTTCGAGCCATCGTGCTTTAAGTTCACTTGAAACAAATAAAAACCAATCAACTGATGCAGCTACTACTTCGATACTGGAATGAAAATCGCATCCACAATCGTTGAATCCTGTTGGGACATGTTTAGTTTCATCTTGACATATCAATATATGTATACAGTTTGTCCAAGATAAGGTTGAACAGCATGGGGATCTCGAAAACGTATCTCCATACGAAGTCGGTTAAATGGGGAAAAAGTTGCGCATTCGGAGGCTCATATCAAGAGCCTTCGAAAAATCTTAAAATTATTTTTAGTTTTTTAGTTATATTGAAAAAAGAGAATTTTTGGAATATCTATTTTATTTTTTTCCTCCGTGATTATCAGAGATACAGAATAACTGAAAATACTTTTCAATAGCAACTTTTGATGACGTTTAACGTGGTGATACCGATTTTTTCATGCGACGTTTCGTATTCGTAGAACCATCATCAACTTTTGTTTTTTAAATACGGTCCTGTTAATTTTTTCACAGATTCTGAAAGGTTTTTCCATTCTGAATTCAACCATGTATTAGACAAGGTGATTCGAATGTGTTTCGACTTATTTCTATCCATCATCAATGTTTTTTCGAAATTCCAAAGGAAAAATGCCATCAGTTCCACTTATTTTGAAGGAAAATCAGTCAACACACTAATACTCCATCAACTAGTTTCAATCAACAACCCATTTCATTTTGCGGAAACAAAAATTACATCCATACAAATTCAGAATAAGTATGTCAAGCGCTAAAACCAGGAGATGACGAAAGGCGCAGGACATTCTGTGAGTGGTATACCAGGAAATGTCAAAATTTTGCAAATTTCCCTCGAACAATCATCTGGACTGATGAAAACATTGTCACTAATCATGGTATCTTCGATAGAAAAAATACACATTATTGTTCACGAGAAGATGAACATTTATACATTACAGCGAGACACCAACACCGTTTCGGCTCTAATATGTGGGTTGCAATATTTGGTACACGAATTATTGGTCCTTTTATTCACCATAAAACACAGACTTCCGACCGTTAAAGAAATTTGCTTGAGAATCATCTTGAGGAAGCTCTGGATGATTTACCGATTGCGGAAGTTCAGAACTGTTGGTTTCAACAAGATCCGGTACATAATTCCAGAGAAGTCCGTACGTTTTTATCCAGAATAATGGATTGGTACTTATTCTACAGTCCTTTGGCCGGCGCGATCGCCTGATTTGACACAGTTGAATATTTTCTCAGGGGATATATCAAAAACTTTGTATACGCATATAACTTTGATGATGAAGAAGAACTGAAGGATAGTGTCATCGAAGCATTCAATAGAATAACCCCAGAAATGCTTAGTAATGTCTTAGAAGCAATTGTGAGAAGAGGATATCTTTGTTCAGAAAACAATGGTTATCATTTTGAACATTTGTTATGAATGTTTCTGTAGGTATTGTCAAAGTTGAGTTGTTAAAGTAATTCGTGTAAGAATTCATCAACAATTTTAAGCGCTGCATTGAATGATGTAATGAAATATTTTTTATTCACTTCTCAGTATTGAATAACTAATCCATCAATGTTTGACACTGAATGATCAGTAATAAGTGGAACTGATGGCACTTTTCCATTGGAAGTTCGAAAAAACATTGATGATGGATAGAAATAGGTCGAAACACATTCGACTCACCTTGTATCATACATGATTGAATTCAGAATAAAAAAACCTTTCAGACTCTGTGAAAAAATTATCAGGACCGTATTTAAAAAACGAAAGTTGATGTTGGTTTCACGGATACGAAACGTTGCATACCAAAATCGGATTCACCACGTTAAACGTCATCAAAAGTTTCTATGAAAAAGTATTTTCAGTTTTTCTGTATCTTTAATAATAACGGAGAAAAACAAATAAAATGGATATTCCAAAAACTTACTTTTTTCGATATAACTCAAAAACTAGAGATAATTTTGAAAATGTTCGAAGGCTATTTATATGGGCCTCTGAATGCGCAACTTTCTCCCCATTTAAACGACTCCGTATCTTCTACCGTTTCCGAGATCCCCATGCTGTTCAACCTTATCTTGGACAGACTGCGATTTTACTAAATATAAACTATTGCAGCACAAGACACACCCCCTACTACGGCATTGCAAAATATAATCGAGCCCAGCACAATCCTGCAAAATCTAATCTTTGACAGCACAACGTAGCTGATTCATATAAATAAATCGATTGAAAAAGTAGCACATACCACGTTATATCTCATCTTCAAAGTACTTTACTTAGGCAAAACTCAGAGACTATTTATCCTCAACGAACTAACCTATCCCTGATTGCAATATTTTTGAGGAAGGAAAACCGAATGGAGTGTAGAAACACATTGATTAATAATATATTTCAAAAGTTGAGTTCTTCAACAAAATTGAATAAAATGAGACTGTTCATCCTAAACGCACTAACCTATTTGACTTCAAATATTTTATGAAAAAGGAAAACCAGAATGAAGTAAAAAAACATTGGTGAAAAAAAAAAGTTGCAAAAAAAAGTTCGAGTTCACAGCGATTCGAACCATGAACCTTCAGACTGAGAGTCGACAGCGCTAACCAGTAGACCATTTGGGTGTATGAATTTACTGCGTACAAGAGATTGACAACGAGAAAGCTTCAGTTCTTGCGTTGGAGCACAGTATGAGATATGACGTATTATGGTGGGCGTGGTTTGTGCTAGCGTGCAGTATATTTAGGAAAATCGCGCCCGGGCTCCCGCAATGAATGCGTTAAAAACACGTGCGTGAAAAGCCGTCTCTCGCGTAATTGGTGTACAAACGTTTTGCCATATACATGAGGTTCGCGGTTCGTCATGGCCCCCATGATCCCCTCCCCCCTGGACCCACCCTTAACCACTGTAATCACAAAGAGTTATTTGGATTCCATCAAATTCCCCATCAGGTGATGAACAAATACAAATTCGACGCCTTCTTCCTGGACATGGGCACCGCCTACGACCTGCCCCACTACTACCACTGCGACCGCCCCCTCGCCAACCCCGACCAATACAAGGTGACATTCACTAACAGCCTACTAGGATCGGTGCCTGTGTTTGGCATTAGCAGTGCTGTCTTGCGCCCGAGACCGCCCACTTTCGTGTTTTTGCCGCCCTTCGAATCCTCGTGGGCGGGGCTGAGAGGGGTGGTACCCACGCTGTTGACGTACGGGGTGTTGGGGTATCCGTTTCTGATACCCGGAGCTGTGGGAGGTGAGTAGTGATAGCAACAATAGGCGCGCGTAGTAAAATTTACGACAAACACGCACGGCCTTCAGATAGGCAAAATAAAAAATGTTTATAGAGGGTGCGCAAAAAAGGGATGATTCTGCATGAGAAAACATAAAATTTATTTTTTCTACTCACATAACTAAAATGGCATTTAGCGTACGGATATGTACCACGCTAAATGATCGATTAATCACGGATTGTCGATCTGTGATTTATCCAGAATATTGAACACGTTACCGTGGCAACACGATTCATTAAATACAGCTTCAGCTACAAATATCCACTTTTGCTTCAGCTTTCAGCATGTCATGTCTGGCCTGTCAATTGTATTAACTGTCAACTGTTATTTTTGAATTTTGTATCAGAATTATTCCATTTGAAATATATGCGAAATGTAGACGAAAGTGAAATCGAAGAGAATGTTCTGAAATTCAACAGCGGTGAACTATATTGAGGTCTAATTGATCGGTAAGGAAAATGCTCGGGAAAATGTCAGAATTTTTTAGTTTGTTGATTTCTAATGATTCAAAATGATTTGTTAGTAGCTAGGTAATGATATGTATGGTACTTGCATATCTCCAAGAAGTGTAAAAATGAAGCATCCATCTTTGACAACAATTTATTTATTCTGCGCTGAGCATGACAATAAACCTGCAGCTCGGTTTCGAGCTGTTGGTTCTCATCAGTACAGGGCTGTCCCAGATAGCTTCTTGACCGCTATCTGGTGCGAATCTGACCCAACGTAAACGCATATTAGTATTTATACCATACGGTCTGCAGCGTTCTTGAACCACTAAAGCGCAGCTCAACGTTTAGGAAGAAAACACTTGCGATTATATTCGTCTATACGAACTATTGCATAGATTCCGGGAGGATGTAATCCAATGTTCTGCGTGACATACAGCCAGGAAAGTAGTTGTTTTTCTCTCGTGATCTACCATTCATTTTATGAACTAGTGTGGTAATGACTTCGAGTTTCTCTCTCTTTGTGACCATTGCATTCCACTTCGAGTATCTGGCTTCTCCCCTAGTTGAAAATACGCCAGTTGGGCAACCAGCCATTTCCATTTCACTTGAAATGGGATCTTGTTCCGGAGTGTTTCTTTCCTTGCCAGGTGGCGTTCGACGTTCGCGTTCATTTCGCGGACGTTGAACGCCTCTTGTGGTATACCGGGTGGCTACGGAAGTATTACCTACGGAATATCTCAGTTATAGTATGAAGTAGGTTTGTGAAATTTGGAGCGTCGATATAATGACATAAGAGCTAGAATTTGAGCATATTGACATGTCGAAGTTAACTTCCGGTCTGACCGGAAGTAACATCAACTTTCTTATTTTAAATGGAAACCCTATATTTTTTTCTTTCCGCTTTAGTCAGCATTCAATTCCCTTTCTAATGACATATCACAAGTTGGTATCTAACCAGAAACTAGATCAGAAAAAAATTATTATTGAAATTCACCGAGTAGCTAGGCCGTGGAAGCAAAATGAAAGCCAAAATTTGGAAAGTTGGCTATGGAAACCATACGTCACTTGATAACAGTTGCTACTACTGTGATATTTTATTTTCATTCATCGGCGTTATAAAAAGCCGCAAAAAAAAATATTGGAAAAATTGGGAAAAAAACAATACTCTGTAGGTCCATAACTTGAATAGGAACATACAACTTTTTCTTGCCTGTACTATTCAGAATAACCATTCCTTTCTAATGATATAATAGAAAGTCCTTTTTTGGCTTTCATTTTGCTTCCACGGCCTACTCGGTGAATTTCAATAATAATTTTTTTCTGATCTAGTTTCTGGTTAGATACCAACTTGTGATATGTCATTAAAAAGGGAATTGAATGCTGAATAAAGCGAAAAGAAAAAATAATAGGGTTTCCATTTAAAATAAGAAAGTTGATGTTACTTCCGGTCAGACTGGAAGTTAACTTCGACATGTCAATATGCTCAAATTCTAGCTCTTATGTCATTATATCGACGCTCCAAATTTCACAAACCTACTTCATACAATAACTGAGATATTCCGTAGGCAATACTTCCGTAGCCACCCGGTATAAATGATGAGATGCTTTTTTTTTGGGTGGGGTTCGCACCAGATAGCGGTGAAGAAGCTATCTGGGACAGCCCTGTACTGATGAGTGCCAACAGCTCGAAACCAGTCTGCAGGTAGTCAGCGTTTCTGAACCACTGAAGCGCAGCCTGGCGTTTAGGAAGAAAACACTCGCGATTTTATTCGTCTATACGAATTATTGCATAGATTTCGGGAGGATGTAATCCAATGTTCTGCGTGGCATATAGCCAGGAAAGTAGTTATTTTCCCTCGTTATCTTCCATTATTATTCATTTTATGAACTAGTGTGATAATGACTTCGAATTTATCTCTCTTTGTAAAAGTGAATTGTTTTATTAGGATCAAAAGTGGCACTTTGTTTGACAAGCGAATTTTGCATTTGCGAGGCGGAGCGTTTAGCGAATCCGAGCGAATGCAAAATTCGCGAGTCAAACCAAGTCACTTTTGATCCGAATGAAACATGCTATTTTTTCTGCAATCGAATCAACTGAAATGTATATGTGAAGAAATCACCAATGCCGTGCCATAATATATGTATGCAATGCAACAAATAATCCGTGTGGTGAGAATATTCTACCAGCATCAACGGCAGGTTTATCCAATTTTCAAGGATGTTCGAATTGTAAATTCAAAATGATTACAACCACAGAGTGACATATTTGTGTATGGACCAGTTGCTCTAATGGCAAATGCCGCGCCAGTGCCAGATATAGGAACAAGACTTGGAAAATGTTAGGTTAGTGAGCATATCAACAATAATAAAATCGATTATTCAATTCTACCCATACTACACTATGTTTGACTTGATAATAAAATGGAGGTTGATAATTTCGTTGTTTGAGACAAGAAGCTATTGCTTGCAGTGATTATTCAAAAACAAGTTTTCCATCCTGCGAATAACGAATGCAATACAGATCAAGCAAGTATATGAATCTTGAAGGCTTTCCTAATCAAAACAAGAATACTTGACTGAGATGTTTATAATTCCTATACTCAACTGTATTTATATCTGCAACATGGGTATGAAATTCCAAATCTGCCGAAATAGGAAACAAATCAAGTATGCGTATCAACCCAAATAACCAACCGTAACAATATTTTTTATTCTTGATGACGTCTAGTACATCCTTTTTAGTTCCTAGGAGCTAAAGTTCGATTTCAGCTCCTAAGGACTAAAGTTCAACTTTAGCTCCTAGTAACTATAGATATGTTGCCTAGCAACATACCTATTTTTGTGTCAGTGATAGAAACGTCAATTCAAGAGCTGATTTTGGTATCAAAATGGACGACTTTTGTGTCGGTTGCAGAAGAAAAAATTATATCTGTATCTTTTTTTTATTGCAAGTTGCCAACAAGTTTTCTTCACAAACGTCAAAAAATATCATTCTAAAATGAGTGAGAAAAATTCTGATCGAATTTGATTCATTACAATATGCAACAACCGATTTCCAATTCAGATGCTGGATGCTCGTTCCATTGGTTATTGAATTACTTTCAAATTTTCATGTTCGAATATTTTTTCCACCTGTAGTTTGGAATCAAAATATAGGGAGACACCATGAGTATACCAAAACAAGTTTCTGACTGAATTTATATCATTCCTGCTTCTTTGAATATTCCGATTCTTCTATTTGTGATCACTCAAAAATGCGAATTATCACCATAATTTCATATTGCTGTTGGATGCTCTCGAAAATACTCCATCAAACTTAGTACCTGATGAAAATTATATCTCATATAGGTGATTACGATGCCCCTCAGCTAATTCCGAAGAAGAACGGAACAGAAAAGAGTTTGCCAGACGAGGAGCTTTATATTCGCTGGTTGCAACTAGCTGCCTTCCTGCCTGTCGTCAGGTACCACCACTTGCCAAGCAGCTATGGGAATCAGAACATCTCGGAGATAGCCAAAAGCTTGGCGTTGACTAGACAGAATAAGGTGGGTCACGGGGATTCAAAAGAATTTCAATATATCAGGATTCATGAGAATATTTGAGGATTTATGAGGATTTATGAGGATTCATGAGGATTTATGAGGATTTATGAGGATTTATGAGGATTTATGAGGATTTATGAGGATTTATGAGGATTTATGAGGATTTATGAGGATTTATAAGGATTTATGAGAATTCATGAGGATTGATGACAATTTATGAGATGATGAAAGGATTCATCAACTTGCTCCACATTTTGATGGAAAAGAATGGTATATTCTCTATTGAGACAAATTACCCCAGAATGTTCGAGAATATAGCAGAATGTTTGAGAATTATGATGAAGATTTATGGTAATTCATGAGGATTTATGAGAATTCATGAAAATCAATGAGGGTCTATGACACTCAACGAGAGGTAACGAGATTGATCGAGAATTTATCAGAAATCTTGATAATCTACGAGAACATTTGAGAATCCATGATAACTCATGGATTGATGAGATTTCACCAAAATTCATAAGGATCTACAACAAGAATTCATGCCGTTATTATAAATTAATACAATCAAAGTCTATGAGAATCAAGAAGTATGAACCAGGGTTTCTCAAAAGTAGCTCACCCCTATACCTTGCTTGTTTCTAAGAATAAACAAATCAAATTCGGTATGTGTAGATAGTACATAAATATTCAGTATTCGACGTATTCAATTGTTTACTGTCTCTTTCGGTTTAACTGGTAATGACCCATATTTTCTTTTTTCAAAGGGGACACCCGGTATATTTTGACATAGATCGATAGATTATAACATTGTGAGTACAATGACATTCCATTCGCCACTTCTCGAAATTCACCATCCTGCAATTTCAATTTTTCAAATTCAAACCGAAGTGATAATGATACTGGATATTGATTCAAAATATCGATGATGTATCAACGCTTTCTTAAAAAAATATTCCTTTCAGATATAAGCCACCCTTGGTTCATTTGGAGAAATTCAGTTGACATCATTATAACGATATTGTGAATTTTGAATTGACCTGTGAAACAAATGAAGAGTGAAACTTCATCGAAACTATTCTTCCTAGGCAGCATGTTTCAAAATCAACTGTTAATTTTCATTTTCAACTTGCGAAAAAAGTCTAGAAGCTTCGAGAGACCATGATGAATAAAAAATGAATAAACAAATGAGAAATTAAATGAAATAAGATGATATGGGTCATTACCGCTCAAACCGGAAGTAACAGAAAACAATTGAATACGTCAAATAATGTATTCATCCGTAAATAGGAAGATGTTATAGGGACGAGCCACTTTTGGGGAACACCCGGTATAGTATTTACAAAATCAGTTGTGACTAGGGCTTCGCAAAACCAGGACCAAAACTGATCAGTCTTGGTCTTGGTCTCGGAAAATAAATGTAGTCTTGGTCTTGGTATTGGTCTTGATAGTCTTGGTCTCGGATCAAAATGCGTCTAGAAATTTGAATTATTCATTTCAAATATCCAACAGTTTATATTATAGGTATTTCGTATTTCGTATTTCTCAGTCTTTGAAATTGTCAATTTAGTGCGTATAAAGTAAGCGAACTTAATTCCTCCTTTTATCATAGGAATATATAATTCTTGGGAAACCTCATATAAACATCATATGAGACCCAATCAGCAAACAGGCTGACGACTGACAGGCCAGAAAGAAGGTTCAAAAAGGTCGGAACTGATAAAAACGCGTTATCAAAATATTTAGAAAAATTCCAAATTCAAACCAAATAACTTTTGTATTGAATTTGTTTCTTTCTTCTATAGGAGGAGGTATGGACCACTGTGACCTTACAACATACACCTATTTGTTGTAGACTTCAAAACTACAATACTGAATTTGAAAAACGAATTTCGGATTTTGAGGGAACAAAAATCATAAACCTACTAAAAGAAAATAAATAACTGAAATAAAATGCCATTACATTTTCCATCAGATTTTTCTCAATATTGAGTAGATTCAAGTTCATTATTTTTCCTTCGAGACCAAGACTGGACTTTTGGTCTCGCGAAGCCCTAGTTGAGACACTTTCGTTTGTTGAGGTGATACAAAATGCCATCAATTTGTTCAAAAGCCTTAAATACTATAGGTCATTGCGATATTCATTTTATTTTCAGGTGACTCCTAAATTGAAAAAATTCGCGAGAGTTTCGCTGAACATCGGCCTTCCTTTGATCAGGCCCTTGTGGATGCTGGATTCCGAAGATCCGAATTGTCATCAGGTTTCTGATGAATTTTCTATTGGAGACGATATAATCGTAGCTCCCATAATAGATTCCGGCCGGAGGCAAAGGGAGGTAAGAAAATTCAACGGAGGGCCAAATTTGGATTCCTTCAGACAGTAAAAGATTTTTTCTCCGATTGGCAGCAAATATTGATTTTGCTGACACATATCAATCAGCAAAGTATTACTTTTCCTGCCTAGGCAGCAAAATGGTTACTTTGCTGATTGAAATGTATCAGCAAAATTAATTATCCATAAATCGTTTATAATTTCCTTCATATTTCATCCGAGACTTCTCCGGCAACAAATTCAACTCTATATTTTTTGCCACCTCCCTGATTTCTGGAGGTGTCAGTACTTCCAGGTCGCTATCACTGTCGATTATATAAAAATTCAAATATACCGATATTTTCTCGCACAACTGTCAGAAATTTCATGAATTGTCAAACTATAATTATTATGGACATTTCCATAGCAACCAACCATTCCAACAACTGCGATTTCTATCAAATCTCATTTTAATTGAACATTACAGGAAAAATAAAGAGATATATATCATTATGAACAATCGAAGAAAAAATTATATGTTCAGCTCGGCAGTCAATCTACTACTTTGCTGCCTAGTTGAACAAATAACTATTTTCTACGGATTTTGTTCAAGTATATTCGATAACCCATGAATGAGGTATAATGTGTTTCAACAATTTTGTTTTCGAATCTGATATCACAATGATACAGAATCTTATCTCCCATCATGAAATGTTAAATTTCAACCAATGACAGCTATGTCTAATGAATGAGCATTACTTGAGGAAGCATCAAATAGCTACAGGCCGAAGAAATAAAAAATGTCGCTGTATCTGTAAAGAGTATACAGGGTATATCACGACGAGTTCACACTATCTCTATCCCTAAAAACACGGGATCTTCCTGGTACATCCCGCTAAGGTCCTACAAATGTCCCAATATTTCAGACTTAAGTACGATATCTTAGAGATGTTTCTCTTGGGACATCCATCAGATGTTTTCATTGGATGATCTAGAAACATCCCATTTGATATTTTTTTTATAAACAATATCATGGTTCCATATTTGCTAATGATGATTGACATGATTGAACAGTTCAAACAATTGTGACATTTGAAACATTGAAAAGTTGGTAAAAAATGGAAATCAAAACTGTATTCGTACTCATATACTTATACCTATACCAAAGCTGGCTAATTTCATCGATAATAAATTGAAATAATTATTCTAAATATTCCTCAATAAGATAACAAAAGTACCTGCCCAACTTCATGAACCATGAAATAAACGACAAAATTGAAATATATCTCTTCAGCATATTTATTGCTGAATTTATTTGTTATACCAGCCGATAGATGGCGGTACAACTACGTTGCTAAGAGTTACTAACAGCTGTCGGCCCAGCGCCAACAAATATGAGCCTCAAACAACTGTTATCATCTTCCATTAGTTATTTGACCGCACCGACCTTATATATTCGGACTCGGATTGTTACTTTATATCTGGAAATAGGTCAGCCACTTTCAGGATTTCAGATTGAATATAATTCATACCGTGTCATCCATTACTGTCATCAAACAAAAAACATCCTAAAAGTTTCTTTAGGATGTTCCATATCAAGTTCCCTGAATGTCTCTGATACATCCCACAAACATTCTGATGGAATGTTTATAAGACATCGCAAATGCTGACATGGGTGTTGCCAGCAACATCCCAAGAATGTCCCAAGGAAAATAGGGATTTTCCAGAGATGTTCCTATCATCCCATATGGATCTTTCTACGACGTCTTACAGATGTTATTGTGTTATTAGGGATATCGAGAATCAGTAGGGAGAAATCCATGAACATGTGCATGCCTATATTTCAGAGTACACTTTCTTCATTTGAAATATTTTCAGCAAAACAGTATTGCCGCTTCTATGAAGAAGTAGCAACAACTTTGTTGATTTTAATAGATTACCCTGTAATTTATTGCATCTCAAGATTCTTCCTAAAGAATTGATTTCATCGATCACTTGTGGTCTATCGGAAATGATTACAGAGATATAGGGTGTTCAAAATTGAGATTTTTCAACTTCGGGATCTGTTTGTGTCGGAACTTTTGATTAACTATTTATACTGATGTTCAATCAAAATAGATACAGTGTGATCAGAATTCTGAATATTGAACTACCCCTAATACCTACAAACCAAAGTCGTGGGAAGGAAAAAGAGACTTGTCCTCTATCATCTGATGATGTAGGTTTGTTTTCGAGTAATTATTTGACTCCACCGTTTTTTAGGTTTTTTCCAAAAATGGGTTTTCCCATTGATTATTGATCATGTACGTCCTTATAGGGGCACAGGACTCCCCTTTACAATGAACCTGACCCTTACCCGGTTCTTTGCACAATAATTTATTTCTCCATATCAACGATTTTTTGAAAGCCACTTCATGTCCAGTACACAGCTTCGCGAATGCTGATACCCTCCATACCGCCTCTTCTTCCAGGCCTTCAATACCAGCCAGGCAAATCAGAAACGAACGAGGAAGAAATGTTGACAACATAAATATCGATTTGGCAACAATTCTCGAATAGGGATCCAATTGATTGGTAGATTTCAATGTAAACAAAACATTAGCATGCCTTTTCTCTAGAGAAACCGATCCCACTGTGCCCAACATTATCTTGTCAGGAGTAACCATACCTTTGAACACATCCATTACCATATATCAGCAATAACCTTGTAGCAGATCAAATGGATATTTCCCGCTTCATGGTAAATGATCGAGGATCGTTATTAAAATATTTTTCATTTGGTTGTAAGTGTTTTCAGATTTTCTCTTTTCACCTACTAGGTACCTTCCTTTGCCAAATCCAAATCGGAACGAACACAAATCCTAAAAATATCTTTGTCGCTCCCTAGCGTCGAGAGGCCGAACATTCCGAAATAAACTGTAACAGGATCTGTACAACAGAGTGCAAGCTTCGCGTATTTATTGGACGAGGACGCCACGTGCCCTACCTTTGTGAAAATTGTTTTTGCATTCAAATCCGAAAAAAGTGTTTCTACGTGAACGAATAGTTTTCTGACCATTTTGATACCTGATTTCATCGGAACGCCATTGGGTCCTATATATCATATCGTTGAATATTTCTTTAAAATACTTTGCTTGGGGTTTGGAATACCCATGGAATACCCGACGTTTTCGTGTATGCACCCGCATTTATTTTAGGTGAGTCTTACCTTTATCAATTTGATGTTCATAATGATATTTTTTGTATGTACATTCCTCCGCCATGTGGGTATTTCCCATTTAGATTCAATGTAAGATATACTTAAATTTATATTACATTTATTTTAGAGTCATATCGATTCGATATTGATAAATCCGATTTCACCTCCAATTATTACGAGTACGTTTTCATACACACATCCAAGAAACCCGAAAACACGAACTTCCTGAGAGTTTTCTTGCAACCTTTCTTGGGAAAAACCACGTGAGATCAATTGCTGAAAGTGCATCCCAAAAACTTCGTTTCCTGTTTCGGGCCAGGACCTTTTTCACTTGCAGTCAGCTGCTAATGATCTATAAGGCACAGATCTGACCTGTCCTGGAATACTGATCCCATATTTGAAGTGCAGCACCCAAACATACCCTGGAACTGTTGGATTCTGTCCAAAACAGGGCGATTCGTCTCGTGGGTGATGCCTCGTTCACAAAATCATTCACTTTTCTGGAACACCGTAGAAAAATTGGCGATCTGGCTCTATTTTATAGATATTTTCATGGACAATGCTCTTCTGAAAAATCAACAATCGTACCCCCCTTGGAAATCCCCGCGAGATTAACTCGTTAAGTTGAGGCTTCGCACCCCTTTGAGGTCACTTTGGAGACCTGCAGAACATCTCTTTCCAAAGACTCGCTCATCCAACGAACAGCAAGGCTCTAGAACACATTGCCATGGAAAGTGTTTCTCGAGGCATATAACCTCCAGAAATCAAGAAGAACACCAATTCCTACCTTATATCCTTTGGTTGTCACGATGTTCTCTGAACATACAGGAAATCCCTTTTCGCGAGAACCAGAACATAAGAAAAAAGTTCCTCTCATTCCCACAACCTTTGGTTTGTGAGGATTGAGGCTGATGATGGACACATAACTGTCCGAAACTTGTTCCCCTAAATAATCTCTCGATTATTGAACTTTGTGGAGATGCTTTTGTATTCTTTAACCCTTTCATATTATTAATTGGTATTGTATTCACCATTTGAACGTGTACAACAACAAAGTACCTGTTACAGAAGCCAAACACCAACAAATATGGCGACTGAGATACTAGCGTTCGTCGAATGCAAGTTTGCGTCTGCGCGTAGGCATTTCCAATTCATAATCAAATATGTGTTGCATCTCAAAAGTTTTACCTATATTGTTTGTTGTTAGTTTATGTTATTCACATACTCAATGAAGTATATCAACTTCGATGCAACTTGACGATTGAAAATCCTCTATAGGTCCATATGTAATGTTGCACTGATATTGTTCGTAGTTAATCCATGTAATGTTGCAATTTCAATGATTATAGTTGATGCAATATTGCTATTCAAACCAAAATGGGAGGGTCCTTTTGTAACTTACAAACAATTTGTCAGTATAGGTTTTTCTGGTATATTGTGAACACGAATATAGCAGCAAAATTGGTACAATTGGAGTCTCAATATCTACATCGCGCGTTGTCTGCCTCCTTCCCAAATAATCACTTACCTTGTACCATGTGACCATAAGGAAGTAACTTTGTTGGAACTTTTGTGGACCAATTACAAAACAGGGTGCTCTACAAACTCGCATGCTGTATCAATGATCATAATTATTTTAGTGAAGGCCTTTTTGAGTCATGATTTTCATGTATATTTTTTTCTGCCCCTCAGGTGTACCTTCCAGCAGGAGTGTGGAAAGATGGCATTGATGGTGGTTTGAGAAAAGGAAGCAGATGGATCCATGATTATCGAGTAGAAGAACACCAAGTTGCTTATTTCGAACGTATGCCTGACAACACTAGATTCTAAGCATCACCTATATATATATTCACATTCCTACGTACTTGTAAGCATCATCTCAAACTTTTTAGATAATCGTTTTATTTTTTTGATTGATTTCTCCTCGAACCATTTTATTAAACTATAGAAACTCATGACTTATTGTCGATTATTTATTCCCCGCTTGTATGAGAAAAGAATTATTGGAAAAATAATTCGTTTCGATTGTTTTTTCACTCCGATGATTTGGTCGGAACACCAGATTCAACCTAGTTGGCGTGTCGACAAACTGATTCCACATTTTCAGGATTCTGATGTCAGAGAAGAACATAAATACTGGAGAAGAGTTTTCAAAGGCAACTGCATGGAAAATACTTATAGGTATAGGTAGTTTTGACCAACTTTGACGCCTGTACTCATAGGTTCTTTCTACCTTTTGGAGCTTACCTATTTCTTCCTTGGAATAACTCCCTGAGCAAAGGATTTCAGAGAATTAGTTTTAGTAGACAGTTGTTTGAAATAAATAAAGGGTGTTCCAACAAGAGTGCCGGATTTGAATTTGCCGCCATTTTATTGATACGAAATGAACAACGTTTAATTAATGTGGAAATTCCACAAAAGTGATGTCTATACAGTTAAATTGGGATTTTATGACAAATCACCATAGCAACGTATGTATTTTAGTGGGTACCAACCAGCGTATGAACTCGGCAATTTTTTCATAACGTTTCAATGACATAATGATATTTTGACGTCCTATAATAGTGATTTTGCGCCACTTCAATTGAGTAGAAATCAACAATTGATAGGCTAAGAATTGATTGATGCCCTGACTGAGAATGTCATCGAAGGTCATACCACTTACCTGGGCCAGTGTAAGGCGTTATGGAAGGCTAAAATTCGAAATATCTGGTACTGATACGCTTCAATAGGTAGATCAAATCACTAACGTGGACGAACATACTGACCTTCATCAGAAATCCGGGGGTTCGAAAAAGAGAATGAGGAGAAGGAATAGTAGATATTATGTGCACATGACGTGTGCAGCAGGGGTCGGCAAAAAAGGCTCACTGATGATGGGGCCTATACTTGCTAGGCGACCGCCTCCTTTTTTTTCTACTACTACTAGTATGTATGTATACTTCATCCAAAAACAATTGCAGAATCTTGTGCTGCACCTGCAGTCACTTCAAAGGAAACTTCAAACACGCCGACGCCGCATAGTGCGGGATATTCTGCAATTGATATTGGATATACTCTACTTATACCTATGAAAAATTAATTAACAAAATTATCATTTCTTATCACTTGTACTATCCCGAAGTTAATATCAAATGAAAGAATATAATATGTTACATTTTGAACTAGTATTTTCATGCAAATATAATAGGTAGAAATCAGGTATCTATTATTGGTGCCGAAACTGCGATCCAAGCTGAATTTATTCATGAATCTGTATGCATATCAAATGAACACATAGATTATTTAATTTCCAAACACAATCTGGTGTAAAATTTTTTGGCCGAATAGTACACGAGGTTGAATTACTTTCCAGGAATTTTTCAACCTCATAGATATATTCCGAGTCGAAGACGAAGACGATTAAAGGAGTCAGATTTTAGATTAAAAAAATAAAGGCATTTTTCCTCAATTTCCACAATTATTTTCCACTTTAGCTAATCGAAAAGGGTGCCAGGGAGCACAGTGCTCTTCATTATAGTTTGATCAGAATACAATGAATCAATAAATGAAGACATAGAAATATAGAACTCAGAAACAGACACATGAATTACGTTACATATATCAAGATGAGGGTAATCTACAGATTTATCCTTTCTCGATTGATCAATCGATAGTTTTATTTCACAAATAACACACACAATTCTTCAAGACTATCTAGTGATACTCATCTTTTCATTCCATAGAGCAAATTATTGAACAATACTAGACCTTTTGTATATAAAGTATCACAGAAAATATTTCCAGAATTCATATAGGAATTATTTCCTGTTCGTCTTCTGATATTGTGACAAATGTACATCTTGAACATAATTTAGCTCACTTGATAAATACAAAGGCAATATGTTATATTTCAATTTATAAGTGACTGGTGTGCGTCTCTCACAACCCAAAATCTCTCTCATTGCACAATTTTGGATTTTTCGCAGTGCATTAACGTGTTCGTTACTCAAGAAACTCAGTAAAGTAACACAGTGTTCAATATGAGGTGTAATTATAGACTTGTTAATTGTTAATTTCGTGAAATGATATACTTTATCACCAAGCTTGTACATGAAACCTATTTTTCGCGCAATTTTCTTTTTAATGTATTCACAATAACTGTTTGAATTCAGTTGGTTATCAATCATCACTCCTACATACTTGAACATTTTCACTTCTTCAATGATTTCTCCGTTTATTTGAATATTGACTTTAAATTGATTTTCCTTGATCATTTTCAAATTTGCTTTCGAAGATATAATCATGAATTTTGTCTTTGTAACATTGATTTTGAGTCCATTGTCACACCTGAT